TCCCCCCTCTCTCTCTCTCTCTCTCTCTCTCTCTCTCTCTCTCTCTCTCTCTCTCTCTCTCTCTCTCTCCCTCCCTCCCTCTCTGAAAAGTAATGGAAAAAATATCCTCAGGTGAGGATTAAAAAAAAAAATGCTTTAATAGCATCCCTGGCTTCTACCTAGATGTTAGTAGCTACACCCTCCTCTTCCCCTTCCCAATTTCTGACAACCAAAAATTTCCTGACATTGCCTGGGGGACAAAATCCACCCTCTACAATGAGCATCACTCAACTATACTAAAATGAAAATACAGGACTTAAATGTTCCTATTTAAGTTTTTATTTACTTCTTTAGCCCCTACCTCTTCAAACCTTCACAAAACCTTTCTGTTGATAACTTCTATAAGGTGAAATAGATTTGTTTTCCAAATTGAAGAAAAGCCAATATTGGGATTTGTGAAGGGACCAACCACATTCCTCTCCCCTTCAAGTTATAAACTAATTGAGAAATATACACAGCCATTAGATAGGAATCAAAACACTAGTTTATTTACAACGAAGTTGGAGTAGAGACCAAGTACAAATACAAAGAGAAACATAGTCAGACTTTTGAGCAGAAGATTGTAAGATTAGGAGAGAAAAAGTGACCCCTTTTTTAGTTTTATTATTCAGAAATCACCTTTCCGGAAAGCTGTAGTAAAAAGAGGTAGAAAGGTCAAAACTCTCTTCCACAGAAAGTAAAGCACAGCCAGTAAAGGGAGAAAATATTTTTCCTACAATTTGTTTCACTGCTTTATAGTTCATGCCTTTTGAGTTACTATCACTAAAACTTACCAAACCTTCCCTCCGGACCTCACTTCCCTTAACTTCATTTTCTCTTAATATATCAGAATATTTGCCATCTATTAGCACTCAGGATATATAGAATCTCAGCTTACATTATGTTAGGTATTTATTTTATTTTGGAAAGAAAAAAAAATTTTTTGAGAGAGGAAGCAACATCGATGTGAGATCACATCACTCAGCTGCCTCCTGCACACCCCCTACCGGGGACGAGCCCACAACCTGGGCATGTGCCCTGACCAGAATCAGAACCAGAACGAGCACAACCTTTCCATGCATGGGAGAACGCCCTAACTGAGCAACACGGGCCAGGGCTGAAAATTTTTATGAGTCTATTTGAGCCAAAGTGATAACATATGCTGGGAAGCAGGATCTCAAATGCTCCCACATTACATTAGACTTTTAGAGGAAAGATGCTGTTAGACATCCTTTACTCAGATACCAACCAACATTGGAAAAAAAAACACACCATTAAAAAAGTAGCCCTTCAATTAAAAAAAACCCACCTTTCTCCAATTCCTTTCATCTTTTCCAGGAACGTATGCATTCCATTCGTATTATGTTAATCCTGACAAAGCTCACATTTATTGAGGGCCAACTCCATGCAAAACACTATTCTAACCACTAAACCACAAAATAGACAGGAGTAAAGCTGTTTATTCCAATGAAAAGACAATGACACACATTTAAAAAACATTTCTAAAGGGCAGTCTTCTATATGGTTCTATATTTTCCTTCCCTGCTACTGCCAAGAAATCAGTGTAGTATTCTGCTTACTCCATAACTGAATAACAAGCTGGGAAAGAAATTTACTTCAGTTACCCATATAAATAGTTAACTAAAATAGTAAACAGAGCTAAAACCAATTCTTTTCTACTTTCAGATTTCAACCTGTTATGATGGGAATCAGCACCATTAGATCCTTGTGTGTATAAACTATTTACATATATTTGGATGCTGTATTTGTATACACAAGCATTAATCCTACACTTAATAATCCTCCCCTACTCGCACTTCAGGGCTTGCCAGTTAACAGTTGTTGTTTTTTCGAAGACTCTTACCATACTACAGTACAGAGTTCATTGAAAGTACACAGAGCACATTTAAGTCAGAATGAATACTGTTTCTAGAAAGTTTGGACTTAATGAAAACCAGGCATTACAGAACAGACTGTGTGGACTACCAAAAGTTATCTTTTAAAATGGTTCACTGAATATAAGGGAGCCAACTAAGAGATTATATAAATTTTAACTATGACTAAATTATAATTTTTAAAACATAAATTAGTCATCCCTGAAGTTGTTTTACTATGTGTTTAATCCCAAAAGTCTTTTGGTGAGCCGTTCTTTATGAAGTAATTCCTTTCCCTTCTCTCGAACGTGGCGGTCATTACTGCCAACATAAAGAACTATATTTTTAATAACTTTCAAAACAGTCATGAAGCTTTCTACACACGGGGAAAATCTTTCTTTCATGAATTCCAAGTTCTGCTCTCTTCCAAAGATCCAACATCACATAATTCTCAGAGATCTATTCCAGGTCATTTGGCTTTGAACAATTATATAGAATCATATACGGTTTTATAATTGTAAACGAAAATCCATTTGTGACTCACCCACCTAAATCACCCAGAAAGTCTAATTCAGCAAAGACCAAACAAATGCCAGTAGCTACGCATCCTGCCCACCAAGGAAAGTTTTGACACTAGGACAGAACATAAATAACGGCCTCCTTTGTCTTCTTTCTACTCCTTAATTGCGCCCCACTGCGCAGTTTCCCCGCAGCCGGAATCCTTAGACGATATAAGGCGTTCAGAAATGTAGGACCTGTTGTGCCCGAAAGCGATTATTAATGTATTATCAGTAACAACTTTGCGGATCATACACGCCCACACGAGAGAAAGGAATGTGTACCCTCGACCGTCAAAATCCCTCTCCCGCTGCCCGTGCACTCGGAGTTCTGCAAGCTGCAGAAGTCCACAGGCCACTCTATCTAGACGTCCCCGCCGAAGCCAGCAGGCTTTAATTTAAAGGCGGGAGGGCTGCTGATTCTGACCTCTCAGAGAAAAGAAAGGATGACCCCTTCCGCCCGCCGCAAGAAGAATTTCCCCCCAATAATGGCTCCAAGCCGAGGGAAGAGCAGGCTACGTCCGGAGCCCCTCCTCTCGCTCCGGGCTAGGCCAGAGTCCCTCCTCAGGCGAGGGTCCGAGACCTCTTCTCACCAGATGGCAGGGCCCCGTTCTCGCCGCCTTCTTGCCTTCTCCACGATCGCCCGCCGCCCCGACCCGACTCCCAGCCAAGCTGACAACTCCCCGCGGGCCCACCTACCTCAGCCGCTAGTAGCCCAGCCCCTCAGCGCGCCCAGGGGCTGCCCATCGGCTGGGAACCTCACGCTGGCGACGCTCCCTCCCCTGCCCGCCGCCTCTGCACTGCACGAAGAGCCAGAGGGGCAGGCAGCTCGGGCGGCGACGGCGAGGCGGCGCCTGACTCCCGGCTCCGGCCGCGGCCACAGCTCAGGTTCCTGCCCCGGACGCAAGAGGAAGAGGCCGACAGAACCCCGTACCGCGAGGGGGTGGGGTGGAGCGTGCGCGAGCTCGCAGGGACCGCGCACGCGCACGCACATCGCGAGATCCAATCTCCCGCCGACAGCCAGCACGCAAGCTCGGGGAAAGTAAGGGGAAGCTGGGATGCGCTTGCGCGTCGTGGGGACCGGCAGGGGGCGGGACTTAGACTCGTAGCTGCTCCGGGTCTAGTGCAGACCTTCGGCTGCTGCTGCACTGCTTGGACCCGCCAAAAGGGAACTAGCTTCCTTACGTAGGTTCATTTTCACCCCAATTCTGTGATGCTGGGACTATACTACTGATCCCACTTCTCAGTGTACAGGATTAATGGAGTCAGGATTTGAACCCAACTGTCTTATTCCAGGAACTGTGCTTTTAAGCGCTGTTGGCACAAAGATTTATTAGTGTCTTACTGTGCTAGGTGCTGCTCCAAGCATATTAAAAGGATTCAACCTCTGCCCTTGAGTTGCTTATGGATTGGATGAGACCTCCACCTGCAAACAAAATGGAAGTATTCAAATAATAGGTGGTGCTTGGACCCTCAGGTCTAGGATTATGCGGTAATGAAAAGCCTCATTTTGTGGAATATCCTATAATTTAGTTTTTACGTCCATGACCTCAGGATTGCCGTATTCTTCATTCCACATCACAGGAACGGTGGGGCAAGTAATTTGCTTACAAACTCAACAGCCCTTTTATGTAGTTATTGTGAGATTTCTGGCTTGTCATTCATCCCATACAAATCACTTAGCATAAGGGGTTAGTTTCCCCATTTCTTCCTTCCATGAATTCGAAGATGTCAGCAAGGCCGGTATCCAGAATTAGGAAGGCTGCCAAGAGGAAGACACTTTATTAGGAAGTGCAAAGAGGCTAGAGGTGGGTGCCTATCCCTTTTGCTCAAGCAATCAAGAATGTTTGAGGATTGCTGGGCAGGTGTGGCTCAGTTGGTTGAGGGCTGTCCCATGCACCAGGAGGTTGCCAGTTCAATTCCGGTCAGGGCACATGCCCCGGTTTTGGGCTTGATCCCAAGTAGGGAGCATGCAGGAGGCAGCCAATGGCTGCTATTGATGTTTCTCTCTCTTCCCCCCTCCTCTCTCTGAAATCAATAAAAACATTTAAAAATAAAATGTGTGAGGATATAATTCTTAGCACCAAGTTTTACCATGAGCACAGCACTTGGCCAAGGTCTTCTGTCAGTAGGAGAGAAAGGAGGAGCAACTTTTCTGGGTAAACACACAAGCGGGGGGGGGGGACGACCCACAAAATTCAGTACATAAAACAGGCAAGCCCAGCCCTGGCCAGTGTGGCTAAGTTGGTTAGGTGTCAGCCTGTGCACTGAAAGGTTGCCCATTCCATTCCAGGTCAGGGCACATGCCCAGGCTGCAGGATCCATCCCCAGTAGGGGATGTGCAGGAGGCAGCCAATCAATGTTTGGATCTCACATAGATGTTTCTCTCTCTCTCTCCCCTCTGTCTAAAAATCAATTAAAACAAAACAAAACCAGGCAAGCTCATTCATTTTCTGGCAGGCAGGATTTTATAACCTGATTCTAAATATCATTCTATTATAAAATACTAGAAAACAAGACTGATCATAGTAGTCTTATATATAAAAGGAAAATGCTAAAATATACATATTTGAGGGCATGTTAAGTATCCTTCCAAAAAACTTCTTTAAAATGTTTTCTCTAAGCATGGCTTCTTTATTTTTGAAGTGGAATTTCAGAATTCATTGTAGTCTCCCATACCATTATCATGACTACTCTAGATATCTCTCTTAAATTTTTATCTGAAGTGGCATTTGTACATAAAACCACTTAAGGAACAGAAACTTTTATACTAACAAGGTCAAATGGTTTGCAAGCCCAATGAAGAAGTAGCCAGAGTGTAACAGAAGTCAGATATTCCTGGGTTTGAATGCCTTTTTGCCATTTGCCTCGTATGGTACCTTGGGCAAATCACTGCTCTTTCCAAAAGTTTTTATATGTGTAAAATGAAGACAATGTATTCCTTGTAGGTCTGTGGGATTAAATGAGCTAAAAGGTGAAAATAGATGTGAATCTGAATACTAGGTCTACCACTTACTAGCTGTATGACTGTGGACAAGCAACTAGACTCAATTTGACAGGTATTTATTGAGAGCAAGGTACTAGGGATGCAGGACAAAAATGGTCCCTGACCTCAGGAAGTTTGTTTACATTTGGTGAGGCAGACAAAAACTCAGATAATCAGAATAGTGTTAAATGCAATGATCTGGTGTATTCTGATAATTAACTTAGGTTGGTCTTAATGAGGTGCTATAGTACACACCATATAATTACAATGTCTGACTAGTTCTGAAAGTAGAGGTTTTTTTCAAGAGCATAGCCATTTATCATCACTTCAGTTGGAATAAGAGCACACTTTTAAAATGTCGTACTATTTGATTTACGTCCCATTTCTTCTTCAAAAGTGTACACCCTTGTAATACAATGTAGACTCCACCATTTTTCATTCCTTCTCCAATAGCTTCAGCCTGGCCCAGGGTAGGCCAGATCATATAGACAAATAATTAATAAGATTTTTGAGTAATAAATGGTAAATGTATATATGCAAAAGGTAGGCCATAAAAGTAATTTGTCTAGAGCTGAGAGCTGGCTATCTCTAAAGACTTTGCAAATGAGGCAGAAAGTGTTCTTAAATATTTTCATTTGAACTGAAAGATATACATAGAAAAAAATGAATCTCACTTTCTAGATTTTAGTTTATCGGTAGCCATTGATTGTCTGTACTAGGTATACAGCTTATAGCAATATTGAAAGGTATAGCAATATTGAAAGATGGCGTAAGAAAACCCACTCCCATTTACCCACTGAAATGATACTGCCAATATTTGTTGATATCAGGTTCTGTCTTTCTATGCTTTAAAAAGGCTTTATAGCCCAGCCGGGTGTGGCTCAGCGGTTGAGCATCGACCTAGGATCCAGGAGATCGGGGTTTGATTCCCGGTCAGGGCACATGCCCGGGTTGTGGGCTGCAGCTGATCAATGACTCTCTCATCATTGATGTTTCTGTCTCTCTCTCTTCCTCTCCCTTCCTCTCTCTGAAATCAATAAAGATATATTTTATAAATAAATAAATAAATAAATAGGCTTTATAGCCCAGCCTGGCATGGCTCAGCAGTTGAGCATCAACCTAGGATCCAGGAGATCAGAGTTCAATTCCTAGTGAGGGCACAGGCCTGGGGTTGTGGGCTGCAACCAGTCAATGACTCTCTCATCACTAATGTTTCTGTATCTCTCTCTCCCTCTCCCTTCCTCTCTCTGAAATCAACAAAGATATATTTTTTAAAAAACCAAACCACTTTATATGTTATTTCACCTCATCTTCACAAACTTGAGAAATAAGTATTCCATCCCCATTTTATATATGAAAAAACTGAATGTTTCAAAGCATTTAAGCAACTTGCCTAAGGCTGTCCAAGTACCCATATATGTGAATTTATTTTTAGTTGTGTATGTGAACAGTCATACTATTACTGTAACAAAATATTATACACATTATATTTTACAACAACATATTATAAGACCTACTCAAAAAAATTTAGAGGGTGAGATTTTAAAATAAATACAAATAGATGCTCCAGTATATTCTTCCTGCTTTCCAATGGTTTACTATACATGTGCCCTGCTTTGGAGACCACTGCTTTGTATCACAGGAAATCAAAATGCAAAAATGAAAGTGAAGATTATCAGTTGTTTTCAAACTTGAATGTGTATCAGAGAATCATTACCACCCCAGACACACCTATAATAGCAACACCAGACCAATAAAAAGTTACAGAGGAACTTGGGCTCTCTTTGAAGTTCCCGGGCATTCACTCCCCTGTTCTTTTCACCAAGCTTTCCAAATCTGAAACTTGGGCCCTGGGATGGCTTCCGGGATAAAGAGGACTCTTTTTCAAAAGTCCATAGTATAGTTCTGGGAAGCTCAGCTCCCAGAAGGCTCCCTTAGGCAAAGACATGGAGAGGAAATACTGCCTTCAAAGATCTTTGCACTGGCACCTGAGAGCCTCCCAGGAATTCAGGAATAATGGGCAAGGACACTTTAACATCCAAGGCTGCTAGAAGTGCCTAGAGTTAAAAGGCTGCTAAAAATCCATATACTATGAAGTGCTAAGTTCAAATGATACGCTTTTTCGCTGGACAAAGAGCACATTTCTCATACTGAATCCTTACGCGTTCTTTATTCTAGAACAGGCAAAACTGCAAAAGGGGATTAATATTCAAAACACGCAATACCAAGTTTTTCCAAATATTTTTTTAAAAATATATCTTTATTGATTTCAGAGAGAGGAAAGGAGAGGGAGAGAGAGAGATAGAAACATCAATGATGAGTCATTGATCAGCTGCAGCCCACAACCCGGGCATGTGCCCTGACCAGAAATCGAACCCTGATCGCCTGGATCCTAGGTCGACGCTCAATCACTGAGCCATGCCCAGCCGGGCTGAGCCACGCCTGGCCGGGCAAGTTTTTCCAAATATTAAAAATGATTAGGTCCGGCCACCGTAGCTCAGGGGTTGAGCATAGACCTAGGATCCAGGAGATCGAGGTTCGATTCCTGGTCAGGGCACATGCCCGGGTTGTGGGTTCGATCCCCAGTGGGGGGCGTGCAGGAGGCAGCTGATCAATGACTCTCATCATTGATGTTTCTATCTCTCTCTCTCCCTCTCCCTTCCTTTCTCTGAAATCAATAAAGACATATTTTATAAAAAAAAAAGTTAGGATTTTTTTAAAATTCTGAAACTTTTACAATAATGCTAACAATGTCTGAGAGAGAAACTCTGAGTTATAGTTCTCCGAAGGGGTTCAAACTTCTTCATTTCACAGTTTTTCCCTCCACAATGGAACAAGGTTAATTTTTGTTAACTTTTTATTCATTTTAGAGAGAAACATCAATTTGTATTGTTCCACTTATTGATGCATTTATTGGTTGATTCTTGTATGTGCGTTGACTGGGGACTGAACCCGCAGCCTTGGTGTATCGGGACGACACTCTAACCAGCTGAGCTACCCGGCCAGGGGAAGTTAAATTTTTTTTTTAAAGGCTTGAGCTTCAAAATCATGAACTCCTATAAGCTAATGCCATATTTGGAAGAGAACAAGATCAGGAAAAATAATCAAGAGTAAATTCCTCACCAGTCATGTGATTTGACAGTATGTACTTAACATATACATATATACCATCTAAACCATAAGCCATTAAAAAGATGAGGCCATTAATATTGTGGGAATTCTGCAAATAATACATTTGTTTACATGTTTTCTTGACATTTCTACTTGGATTCCTGCCTGAGGAAAATTATAAGTTGATACTGAACTTATAATCTCATATCAAATATCTGCAATTGGTAACATGTCAGGGAATCTTTACCTAGTGAGGGAAATGTAGCCACCATTAGCCGCAGAGAGCTGGCCTAAGAGAAAAACATATGTTTTATTAAGCAGTGTGTAAAGAGATGTTGTTATACTCCAAGTTCAAGGCCCCACTCAACTGAGATTTTATTAAGGCGTTCTGATGGTTACAACATCTAAGTAGAATAAAAAAGTTAAGACAGCCTCTCTACCCCTCCAGATTTATTCATTTATTCTTTTTCTTTCTCTTTATATTTACACACACATCTTTTTTAAACATTAATTTCAGTTTTTCATGCCAGAAGGAGAAGGTATAAGAAAATATACTCCAACTCTTATTTAAAACTATGTACTAAAATGTGAAGAACTCATAGCTCCAGACTCAAATCTAAGAGGAAGAATATTCTCATGTACACATTGGGCTACCAACTCATAACTCCTGCCTGCTGAGAACTCAGCTTCCATCATCAGCTATAAAGCACAAAAGTGGAGCATTTTACTAAACATAAAGTACACCATTTTACCCTAGACTTCATTTCAACTACCATTTCTCCCCCAGTTCCTATCTTAAAAAAATATATAGCCTGGCTGGGTGCGGCTCAGTGGTTGAGCATCGATCTAGGATCCAGGAGATGGTGGCTCGATTCCCGGTCAGGGCACATGCCTGGGTCGCGGGCTCGATCCCCAGTCGGGGGTGTGCAGGAGGCAGCCGATCAATGACTCTCTCATCATTGATGTTTCAACTCTCTCTCTCCCTCTCCCTTCCTCTCTCTGAAATCAATAAAGATATGTTTAAAAATATATATGTTATCTGTCACTAAAGAACTTTAGATGATGGTTTCATAAAACAATGCAAGGCAGCACAGGGAAAAGAGCTCACAACCAACCAAGTAACAAATTTGGGGCTTGGATTTCTAGCTTGTGATTCTTAAGATGCTAATTTATTACTTAGAAGAGGACCCCACTGCTGGCTTCATGGGATTTGTAAATCCCAGGTATTCAAGAGCTGATTCTGCGCAAAGAAACAAACACACACCTCATTCCATGCCTGCTTCAAAAGAAGGATCGCAGGTGCACTGTGACTACCAGCTGAAGACCAATGTACACCAACAAGGCTAATAAGACATGAAATACATCAAATAATAAAGTGTTTTAAAGGAGCTGGAGAGAACTCAGCATTATCATTTAATTCTATACTTCAATTTCCATTCTAAGTGTGTCAATGTGGTAAAACACCAACTGGCACATGAACCTATTATTTCCCACAGCCTGTCTCTCTTATGCCAAATACAAATGCCATCAAAGGCTAAGAGGCTTCTTCAGTAACATACTTTTGAATAGAATTGTATATTCTGAGTAGTAAATTGCCAGAATTTTAAAATAAATACAGAGTGCAATACTTTGCTCACATGACCACCAATGTAAACAAGTTCAGATAAACAGTGGAAAACATTTCAGCAAATTTTAGGAAAATGCAGACTGTAGCAACTTTATTTTATAAGGAATTTAGAAAACATGAGCAAATGTTGATATTGCATTAAAAAACAAATTAGTCTATACATCATTCAAATTTTAAAAATCAAAGAGTCGATGTGACACTAAAAAATGTAGTAAAAGAAATGTGTTTCATTTTAGAACAAAATACTATCAGTGGTTTATTACAACTAGATATACAAATGTAAAGGTAGTAATGCTAAAATGATGTAAAACAGTGAATCTCAAAGTGATCCAGCAGGCTAAAGGAGCACCAATTGTCACCAATGTGGGACTGCCACATATTCTATCGAAGAAAACAAACTACCACTAAGTAATAAAAATACGCAAATAAATAAATTGTGGGGGGGAAAGGAACCCACAATGCCTGGAATTTTAGAGTAAATCGTTTATTTGGTTCTGCTGTTACATATGTTTTGTCTGTTTTCCTCCAACAGTGGATATGTGAGGCATCTAAGAATATTTCCCAGTTATATCGTAGTTTTTCAGTAACAATACTACATTGCAGAAACAACGATCAATACTCCCTGTCACTTTAACTACTTAATTACTATTAAAATGATTTTTTTTAACAGTTATAGTATGCTTTCATTCTTTTCTAAAAACTCTAAGCAAGAATATTCAAAGGAACTGTTTCTTAATTTAAGAAATGTCTATTTAATTCCTGAAAAAAATTTTTTTCAAGAAATGACAATAATATGAAGTTCTAACATACCATGAGCATGAAAAAAAAAGGGCAATTCAATTATGACAATTTTAATTAAAATAGGAAATGTATCTGAGGGCTCAAAAATGTAAGTTATGATTCCTTGTGAACTAAATTTCACTGAGATGCTTATGGCTAAGTTTAAAACATGGATATCATTATGTTTCAAAATTTTAAAGAAAATTCACAACCTACACAATAATCCTGAAGAAAACCAGATTAAAATTAGTAGGGTATTTATATGTACAGATGTATACGCAAATACTTTCAGTGGGAAAAGGAATCATATTAATATTTACAGGCTACAAATCACTTCTTTAAAATGAAGATTAGAAAAGTTAGTAGCTAGGTGTAGAGCCAGAGGTTGTGAGGGGAACCTAAAAGTAGTAAATACTAAAATTCTTTGCAGTGTAAAGAAATGCAAACGACTCTTATACTACAAATCTTTAATTTTACAAAACCAAAAAGTAATCCAACTATTGCCCATTTATGATGATAAAAATTGAAACAAAAATTCTGAACCCATTTTGTAAAAATTCTATAACATTCTTAAATCCAGTTCATAGTTCCACTGAGTTAAGATTTAAGCTCAAGGGAGACACAAAAGTAGACAGAATTTTACCTTTTCCGAAGAGATGATCACAAATTTCATTACAAGAGGATAAGGTGAATAGCCCCTGAGCAACTTGTGTACTTTATTAACTTCAATAGAAAGTCCAAATATTTCCTTTTTTTTTAAACTTCTGGAATACTATCCATGTATTTAAAATGTTGACATTTTTAAGCTTTACATTAAAGGACATCATACTCTGAAAACAGGCACAGGCCTGTCTTAACTATAGTTTGATAATTCTAGGGGTACTTACTGCAAGAAGATTTCTTTAGCAAATACTGGGTTCTTGTATTTAAAAAATCAGCAAGGCAGAATTTAAAAAATCTTAATTTACAATACATTGTAAACTGCACACAATTGCCACATGTATCACGACCAGCACAGGTAAAAAGTTCTTTCCAGATGTTTTATAAGACTTTGTATCTTCCTTTATTTGTTGGTTGGTATGAATTTTGCTATAAAAGAAAATAGGAGATACATGGTAAGAAAAAGCAAAAATACACAAAAACTAAAAGAAACGTATTAACGAAATTCCCTTCACAAAGTTATAAAACTATCATATTTAAAATAAAAAATGTTAATATTATATGGAGAAAGAAAGAACTACCCAATAACTCATCATTTCTCTGTGTTCTCTCATCTACTCCTTGATGGCCATTTTGAACCAACTTAATGGTAGTGACATCAAGGTTTTTCCTATCCCTCCCTGGGGAAAGTCTTAAGTACTTGATTCAAAGGATGTTATTTTTCTTCCCTCCTGTTTTGTGTACCTTGCATCCGTTAAACCTTTTATCTTCCCCCAAAAGGATGTTCTGGAAGTGGAATTTTAGAAAAGCCCTCACCCAGCCAGCATGGCTCAGCGGTTGGGCATCAACCTAGGATCCAGGTGATCGCGGTTCGATTCCCGGTCAGGGGATCCCCAGTGGGGGGCATGCAGGAGGCAGCTGATCAATGACTCTCTCATCATTAATGTTTCTCTCTCTCTCCTTCTCCCTCTCCCTTACTCTCTGAAATCAATAAGATTTTTTTTTTAAAAAAAAAGCCCTCAAAAACACATTCTTAGAGAAAGGATGAAGTTTCCTTTCACAGGGCCCTCATCCCAACGTACAAACTGTAGGAAGAGTTAACAAGCTTCAACTAATAGTAAAGACATGGGATAATATGTGCCTCCTTTGGAATGGTGGTCTATAAAAGGCGCTATTCCAAAACTAAATTAAGTCCTTACCTGAGTTTAAAAACACTGGCAACACCTATGCTGGCAAAAATGCAGAGAAACTAGAATTTTCATACAATACTGGAGGGGGCGTAAACTGGTATAACCACTTTGGGGAAGTATTCAGTAATACCAATTTAAAGCTAAACTACACACATACCCTATAATTAGCACTTCTACTTCAAGGTTTATACCCAAGGAAAAAAGCACACTAATATGTATCAAAGCCATGGAATAAAATGTTTATAGAAGCATTATTCATAAAAACCAAAAATTAAAATAACCCCAAGATCCACTGTATATAAACTGGTATAGTCAGTCACACAATACTATATAGCCATGAAAAAGAATTACTACTGCTTCATGCAATGAGGACTGATTTCCTCAAAGTAATGTGGAGTGAAAGAAATGAGATACAAAAAGAGTACAGAGCATTTGATTCCACTTTACATGGATTTAAAAAATAGGCGAAACTAAACATCTATGATGTGAAAAGTCAGAATATTGTTACATTTGGGGGAGACGAATCATGACAAGGGGCATGAGAGAGAGTCTGGGAAGCTGGTAAATGTTATGTATTTCTTGCTCTGGATAGTGATCACATCAGTGTGCTTATTACCTTGTCAAAATTCATCGAGCTACATGTTTGTGATTTGTGTATTTTTTGTATTTATATTATAGTCTAATAAAACATTTATTAAAACAAGTCAGTCAGTCCTTGAGGTTTTCACTCACCAGCCGAATCAGTTCTTCTTTTATGAGCCTGGTGATTTCTGCCTTTGCTTTCTGCACGGCCAGTTCATTGGCACCTGGTGAGCAAGTGGAAAACATTATTTGTATTACTAGAATTACACTGTCGTGGAGAGCCACCAGGAATACTGTAGGTGACTTTCAGGAACATTGTGCTACCTGCCAAGATAGCCTTTCAATACCTGGTGAAACATCATCCACATTATGTAATGGCTGTCTATTGTTCTCAACACTTAGAGAGTTTCAACGTAAGCAATGAGGTCACATTACGTGAAGTGTCAAGAGTTCTTGGTATGTTGATTAAAGAGAGCAAAGAAAAGATGATTAGCAGTTTATCCAAAAGAGAATAAGAAAAAATTAAAGGGAAATAGAACTTTCTTGGTTCAGTTATTCAACAAATATTTATTGGACATTTATTATGTTCTTTCAAGTCAACAAATGTTCAGAAAGGTATCATCTGAGCAAAGTCTTAAAGATGAATGGAGGCTTGACCAAGTTGAAGGAGAAGAGATGACGTGGAGAGTATTTTGCAAAGGAAATCACATTTGCAATGGTACAGATTAATAAAGGCATGCTGCCCTGGCCCGTGTGGCTCAGCTGGTTGAAGGTTGTACTGTGTACCAAAAGGTTGCCAATTCAATTTCCGGTCAGGGCACATGCCCAGGTTGTGGGTTTGGTCCCAGGTCAGGCTGTGTACAGAAGGCAACGGATCGGTGTTTCTCTTTCACATTGATTTTTCTCTCTTTCCCTTCCTCTCCTTTCCCCTCTCTTTAAAATCAATAAAAACATATTAAAAAAGAAAAGAAAGGCAGGCTTAAATACTGAAGAGTAAAAGAAGTATATTGTGGTTGGAAAAAAGAGTAGGAAAGAACATAACAAGGTAGCCAAGTGGCTGGGGCAGGGTGGAGACATTCATTCACACAGTTATTAATTCAAGAAACATTAAGTACCTATCACGTATGATATACTGTGAGAGACTCATTATACGAGGAACTCCATGCTCTTTATAATCCTATAGGCCACTAGAAAAACAAACTTGTAAAGCTATTACAACAGGGTAAGTAGCTAGGAAGTAGTCTACCAGAATAACTATTAATTATCACTTCTACGTCCTGGCTGGTATGGCTTAGTTGGTTGGAGCATGGTCCCATACACCAAAAGGTGGCAGATTCTATTCCTGGTCAGGGCACATACCCGAGTTACAGGTTCGATCCCCCACTGGGGCTTATGCAGGAGGCAAGTGATTGATGTTTCTCTCTCACATTGATCTCTCTCTCTCTCAAAAAAAAAGAATATATCACTTCTTCTAAGCAGCTTTCCCTGACTTCCAGGCAGTTAAGTGTTTTTTCTTCAGTGCTCTCACAGGATTGTGTTCATACCACCATGAAAGCACATTCTTTAGGTAGAATGTTTTAGGTAAAAAGCACATTTTTAGGACAAAATGTTTTTTCTGACTATGTGAATAGTAAAAAAGAGGTATACAGCCTAGGTGGTGTGGCTCAGTGGTTGAGCATCAACCCATGAACCTGGATGTCAAGGATCAATTCTCAGCCAGGGCACATGTCCAGGTTGTGGGCTCAGTACCCAAAAGGGGGCGTGCAGGAGGCAGCCAATTGATGAATCTATCTCATTATTGATGTTTCTATCTCTCTCCCCCTTTCCCTTCCTCTCTCTGAAAATCAAAAAAAATATTAAACAGAAACCAAAGGTACAAAGTAAGATGCTAAAAAGAGTTGAGCAGCAAGTAAAATAAGAAGTAATAAAGAAGATACTGGCCCAGCCAGGCATGGCTCAGCAGTTGAGAGTCAACCTAGGATCCAGGCAATCAGGGTTCGATTCCCTGTCAGGGCACATGCCCGGGTTGCAGGCTGCAGCCGATCAGTGGCTCTCTCATCATTGATGTTTCTATCTCTCTCTCTCCCTCTCCCTTCCTCTCTCTGAAATCAATAAAGATATATTAAAAAAAAAAAAAAAAAAAGATACTGAATCCAAGAACAGGTGTTATCAGCAGTGATGGTGGGTGAAATTCAATTCTGAGATTACTGTAGTTGAGGTGCTCAAGAAGCATCAGTTAGAAATGTCAGTAATGCCAATGGAAATACGAACCAGAGGGTCAGGAGAAAGGAAGATTAGAGAGTCATCAAGGGGATATGTGGAGAGATCAGAAGTCAGGGGACAGTAAGAGGAAAACAGCTGCACCAAAGAAGTAGACCAGAGATTAAGTTCTAGGAGTGACATGTCCAAGAATAACAGGAAGACTGGGGTTGCAATGTAGAGAACTACATTTTTATCATTCTATGTAAGAAAACCAAATGAGGAAAATAATTCACAAGATATGGGAAAATTTCCCCCTTATTACATGTGAATAAGCTTTTTGACCCCAAAGAGAAGAAAGGAAGAGTGAAGGGGAGAATGGGGAAGAAGAGGAGGCAGAGGGGGAGGAAAAAGAGGCAGAGGGAGAAGAAACAGCTTAACAGGAAGGAAAGGGCCATGAGTATGGCTGTGAAGTCACAGCAACATATCTAAGTCCTAGAGCTCCACCAGCTACCGACCATGAGATTTTAAAACTGTGGATGCTGGAAGGGAAGAGAGAAAGATGAGAATGAACAAGGGTAGAATCAAGACCCAAGCCAAACTGAAAATTACAACCAAACTGAAATTCAGGAGGAAAATATGCTATATGGCAGGAGTTGGCATGAAGCTTGTTGATATTCTGTGCTATTTTTAAAAGGAAAACGACTCTCACCTAAACCCAAATGGAAGAGTAACTTTCCTATTTTAGTTAAAGCCTGACCATTTGGACCAGTTTAAATTTCTGACTTACATAGCTTCTTTAGGTAATAGGTTACATATGTTTATAAGCTGCCATGAAAAAGAGGCATTTCCTTTCATTGGTCCTAAAACAACTCTGGCTGCTTTTAAGGGATTCTCTACTAGTAAAAAGAGGGTTGCAAAACAGGCTATAAATTATACAGGGTGGCTAGGCATGTAAGTCCTTCCTGTTCTCCTTCCCGCTGCCTGGTGGGAGGCCTGGAGCTGCTGAGCCTTCAGAGCCTCCAAGGAGCCAGGCAGTGGGGTCCCTCCAATTACAGAACTAGAAACAGATGACACTAGGCTCCTTCCAACACCTGTTTTCATCCTATTAGTGTTCAGTTGATTTGGAGTTTAAAAACTAAAAGACCCTTTAAAATCTAATCATCTATAAAAATTTTAAAAATTTATACATTTTAATTACCAATTTCCAGCTTTTATTCAGCATCTATGTCTCTAGAATTTTCAAGATTCATTTTTGGAAAGGTTACCTTTTCACTGGGGGTTGTGGTGCTTAGATTATATTACACATTATTTCCTGAGCACAAGTTGACAGTGAAGAGAAGTGACCAGAACCAATGCAGGTGGATGGAAAAGTCAGCAAAAGCTGTGGGTTTTTCAGTTCACTTGGTAATATAGAAGGTGTGTTCTGATAAAGTTATACTTAAACTGAACTTTGATACATTCATTGTACTATATAAAACAAGCATAACTACTTTTAAATTAATAAATTACACAGAGGATCCTTTTTCAGAGCAGTCATGTCTCTGATTTACCTCTTTATAAGGCAGGTATTTACAATATTGGTTTTGCTTAAATAATACTCATGATATTCAAGCTGAGGCTAAAGGCTAACTCCATGTATACCAAAGGTTTTATCATCAGATTCCAATGGGTAACATTGTGTCTCCATCCTGCATGGTGGCCTAATGAACAAAGCAGTAAGGGTGACCTGTCCAGTTCAAAATGCAGAAAAATATTAGTGTAATTTTCTCCTTGAAGATCTGGGTGCCAGCAACCCCCATATTACTACACAATAAAAAAACAGTGTCACGTGATTTAGAAACACACTGAGTCACTGGCAGACCAAGTCTTTCAGGATACATAAAAGGGTGTCATTTAAAAATGTGACTTGAGAGTCACAATCGCAAACAAAAAAATGAAATATGCCTAGTTCTCAACCCACTTCCTTTGTATACCATTAAGAACATGTATGAATCTTATCATACAGTAATGGTAAAATGGCAATAACATGGAAAATATAAAGGCTGCATTTGAGTTTTGCCTTTGCCACAATTCATCACTATTAATTTTAATAAGTCCAATAATAAGAGTGACATTGTTGAAAATGGCAGAGCAGGGAACTCCAAAAGCCTGTTCCTCCACAAAAGCAGCAAATAAACTTGCAGAAACTATTAAAGTAAACTTTATCAGAACTCTGGAAACTAATCAAAAGTTTACAGCAACCAGGCAAGGACTTATTAAAAAACAAAGCAAAACAAAACAAACAGCTGAATCTTGGTAACAGAACTTTTCAGTGTTTAACTTACTCTGACCCCGTCAGACCATTTTTGGTCAGGAAACAGTTTCTATTTAGAGGTAAATGGGATGCACACTGCACATGTATTTCTCTTGTTGTAGTCTTTATACTAAGCAGCCACATAAAATCAACGTGAGGTCACCAATTAAAAGCAAAGTGACTAGGCACAGTACTAATTTACTTTCTGTGAAATTCTCTTTATTTTGGCCAGGAAAGAATCAAACCCTAAAAATAATTCCTAACATATAATTAAGTCATTTTAGTTAATATTTATTTCACTAAAATCTTTTTAACAATAAACTTTCAATGGATCTAAACAACCTTCCACTGATCTTCCTAACCACAACCTTTAGAGCTGAGCTATCCAATAAAGAAGCCACCAGCCATGTGGCTACTTAAACTTAATAAAAATTAAATATCATTTATGTCTTGGCCAGTGTGGCTCAGTTGGATAAGCATCACCCCATGCACCAAAAGTTCACCAGTTCGATTCCCTGTCAGTGCACATGCCCAGGTTGCAGGTTCAACCCCCAGTCAGAGTGTGGGCAGGAGGCAGCTAATCAATGTTTCTCTCTCAAATCAGTATTTCTCTCTCTCCCTCTCCCTCACCCTTCCTCTCTCTCTAAAAGTCAATAAAAACATTTTTTTTAAAAAAATTAAACATTTAAAATTTCTCAGTCATAATGGCCATATTTCAACCGCTCCATAGCTATCACAGTGAATTCTATTGGACAGTGCTGCTTTAGAGAGATCAAATGAACATGCCTGTCAAATATTTTGTGTCCTGAAGAAAAGTACCAATAGAGCTTAATCAGATGCATTATTCAGAAAACTTATCAAGTGTCTACCCATGTGCCAGGCACTGGGAATACAGAAGATAACAGTCACTACAGTCAAAGTCAATGCATTCTAAGAGACACACAAGTAAAAATATACTATAAATTCCATGTGATGAGTACTATGAAGAAAAACAAAGTAGGTAAAGAGCTATAACGGAGTGTAAAGTGGGATTAGGAAAGGCCTCCTTGTTAGAAATGATATGTGTGAATCAAAGAGACTGGTGTCTGAGTTTATACAAGATGTGGAAGCAGCTCCTTTGCAGCCATTTAAGCCCTTTAAGCACTAGGTATGCAGACTCTGGGCTTACACAACACGTGAAGTAAACTTCCCCACAGCTCCAAAAATAGTATTCAACAAATATTTAGTTCATTAGAAATGAAATGGACCTGGCTGCTCCACTATAAAAGTCTGTGACAAAGACATTCAGACTAAATAAAAATAAAGGGAGGCAGATTGTCCTACCATGCAGCAGAATAACACATTAGGAAAATAAATCAAAATGAAAATGAAAACTATCTTGAATTCACACATTAATGCATGAAATAATGTTAAAAAGCAAACCAGATCACTCTCAGTTAATGCATTACTTACATCCTTTGAGTTATGGTATTAATTGTCCTTTTGTTATTTTTTTAAAGGTCTGCATGAACTTTTACGGGCATAATTTCAGAGGCAGTATTTGCTTAAACATTCATTAAATAGACTATTAATATAGTTGATTTACTTTCTAACCTAAACTTGGACCAGAATGTTCTATGCAACAGAAGTATAAATAGATTAATCCTTAAAAGAAAAGTCCTTTTCTTTCAAAGTGATTTTCAAATTTGACTGAATTGTCAAAACTGAGAGTCCCAAACACAGATCATTCACCTTTGTATGTATACTGAACTTCTAAATAAAGACCTCAAAGAACATACAAACCATTTTTTATAGGTATTCCCTATTTTCTAGAACTGACTTCACATTCTATTACATCTACATCAACCTTGAAACAGAACCAACAGTACATACTTTCAATTGCCAAGTAAATTTTCCGCTCTCCTTCCTTGGGTTCCTTGCCAGGTGGGAAGTATGTTCCTCTGATTGTAATTGCAGCTTCAGAATACTCACTGATTCTCTGCAGAGCTTCCTTAGATGTAACTTTCCACCTAGCAGTCTATAAAAGAAAGGGTGAGGGGAAATCACTTCATAACAGGATTTAAAAGCTGAGTGCATTTGACAAAGAACAGGTTGTCTAAATCATATTATGGTCAATTTTAAGATTAAAATTAACACCTTCATTATAAATTCATTTAAATCCCAACATACCTAGAACATATTCATTAAAATGAAATTTCTATTGTTGTCTCCCCCATCTAGATAAAAAGTAGCTATTAAAATGTTCATGGCGCCCAGCCGGCGCGGCTTAGGGGTTGAGCATTGACCTATGATCCAGGAGATCGCAGTTCGATTCCCGGTCAAGGAACGTGCCTAGGTTGTGGGCTCAATACCCAGTATGAGGCATGCAAGAGGCAGCTGATCAGTGACTCTCTCATTGTTAATGTTTCTCTCTCTCTCCTCCTCTCTCTGAAATCAATAAAGACATATTAAAAAAAAATGTTCATGGCACTTTGTAAAGTCTATGATTTTCTAACCACTATGCTGTACACCTGAATGTAAACTGTAATTTTAAAAAATTTAAGTAAAAATAAATAAATAAAATTAAATGTTCATGGATTTTAAAGAAGGGATTTTCACTCCTGAGAAGCAAAAGTTCCTACTCCACAATAAAATGTTTAAGCCTGTTACTTGCCTGTGGGAAGTCATTGATCTCTAATTCTTCCTCATATCTCTTAAAAGATTCATTCTGTCCACCATCCTGTCTCTCCTCTTCTTGTTTCTCCAAAGGCACATAATTGAGCTTGGCATTGATCTTTTCAGCAAGTTGCTCTGCAATGGTTTTTGCAGACACAGTGGGAGCCAGAATGGTGCCACCTCTGAGAATTGCATTGGTGGCCTGTTGCATCACATCCTGCAGTTAAAGAAGACCTACAGTCAAATCTCAAATGAGGGCAGAGACAAGATCAGGGATCCCACCAATTATTCTCTGGAAAGCCACTAACTAAAAGCATCTTTCTAGTATAAAGTCCTACCATATGGTATAATTTAGCAGTATATATTTTTTACTGATAGTTTAACATATCTCCCTTACTTTGATGAGAAAACTAAAGAACATTCAACTCTATATTAAAAGTTCTACTGGATCATAGCCCTGGCCAGTGGGGCTCAGTTTGTTGGAGCGTCGTCCCATACATCAAAAAGGTGGCAGGTTCGATTCCCAGTAAGGACACATATCCAGGTTGCAGGTTCAATCCCCAGTAGGGACCCATGCAGGAGGCAACAGATAGATGTTTCTCTCTCACATAGATGTTTCTTTCTCTCTTCTTCTCTCTCTCTTTCCCTCCCTTCCTCTTTCTAAAATCCAAAAAAAAAAAAAAAAGTAAAGGTACAAAATATTGCATCAGTAGAAATAAATCATAAAAACTTTTTAAAGTTCTACTAGGTCATAGATAATTAGGTAACTCTTGATATTAAACATAGTACATTTCTAAAATCGTTTACATGTTTTGGGGTTCCCAGGAATTTCCTCTGAATTAGAATCTTTGTGTACTACCACCACTGAGTTCCTCCTAGGGTCCCCATGGTCCAATCCAATATTTAATCAATTATGGTACATGACTTACTCAAGACCTTTTAGTTTTTTAATTTGAACTTAATTTTATTATATGCCTAATATGAACAGAATTCTTCTGTGGGTAGTATATGACTCATACATCAACATTTTCCAACAACAGTGAAAAGTTACAGCTATTTGATTTCTCTAATAAGGAGTTACTAGCAGTAAAAATCCCGGAAAATTTAGATACTGCATCCCTGTTTTCAGAAGTGGCACAGGCTTGGGGACAGTAAACACTTCATGATACCTCACTGGCTAAACAAATTCAGAGACCAGAGCCTGGTTGTGGCTGCCTCACTCAATCAGTCCACTAGTCTCTGGCTTGGTCATTCCAGCTTAGGTGCTACAGACCTAAACCTATATAGCCTACTAGACAGAGGGCATGCAGGTCCCCAAACTCTAAACAAAGGTAGCATGTGAAACATTTAACACATTTTTCTACTGTTTAAACTCATGTTAGTTTCAGTTATGTAATTAACTGGGTGTTTGTACTTCCAAGGAATTGTTTGTATGCCTCAAAATACACCCAATAAAAGTAGATCAAGAGAGAAAAAGAGTGTTATTTCTTTAAGATTCTGGTAAGATCAATCAGAATAGTACTTTATAAAATTCTCCATGGCTATCATGCTTAATAGTTAGGCCTTCCAGAATTGGCATTAAGACCTCAGTTAACCACACATTAGAGAAATCATCCAAATGCATTAATCAAAGAATTCTGTATTCAGAATGTTAAATTCTCACTAACTCAATGTCTAGTGGACCTGTTGTTCACTTGTGCCGACATAATTCCTAAAAAGCATTTAAATCAAAGAACTTATAGAAAGTTTTGACTAAATCTAGGAACAAATTACTTAATACCTGAGACTCAATGCCCAAATTCTTCTGAGCATTGATTCTAAGAGCCAATCTCTTCGCAATTTCTAATTTCTCAGCATTTCCTGCAGTTGGAGCAGGAACACTAGATGTTCCAGGAGCAGCCATATCCTTCACTCTCTTCTTTGAATTAAACATGCTTTCAATTTGCTCATCAATCTAAACAAAACAAAATAGAAAGGTTAGCAAAAATTGGATTAAAAATACCAACTTAGGTATATCTATAGAAACTAAAAAATATTTCTACCAGAAGTCTAGAATCAGTTTTACCTATATTAATTCAACCACACAGATCAACAGGAAAATATACAGCTATTGGTTAATGGCAACACTTTTCATTTTAAAAAATCAGTAGTCTATGGTGAAAAAAATAGAAAACAGATATAATGCTATATGAAGCACTTATGCAGACTCCTGAGTGGTCCAGAAGATACATCCCAGTTCAGCAAATAAGGAGTGTGTTGTGAACACAGAGCAGCCAACATGATGCATCTAAGATGCACCAGTGCTCAAGCCTTAAAGCCAAATTATACTGCAATGAAACAGGCTGGAAGAAGGGAGTAACTAAAGGCCAGTGGATAATTAAAAAAAAGAGTCAATGATTCTCAGGGGGAATGGTACAACCATGTTCCTAATATAAGGCTCCCAAAATTCTTTCAGACTCCTAAAATGCAACTGGATTTGCTTTAAAAACTGGGTGACAGAATCAGAAAAGATAGCTTTACTGCTTTATTCCTTTGAGCTAAGAAAGGAAAGAAATGAAAGTCGGTTTTCCCATCAAAGCAAAAGCAACGCTGAAAGACTCCGCTCTCCAGAATCACAAGATTCCTACTGCAACTGTGTAATTCTCAGGTTTGCCACAGCTACCTAATAAACTACTTTCACTTCCTCTTTGCTCTTTCTAGGATCACCTGCTCCAAGAAAACGCCTCTGCCACACTGTGAGGACACACAGGCAGAGTCATAAAGAATGGAAGCATTCTGCCAATCAAAGTGAGCCATCTTGGAAGATGGTCCACACCACTGCAGCCTGGGACAACAGCTTGACTGCAACCTCCTAAGACCCTAAGCCAGAACTACCTGGATAAACTGCTCCTGATTTCCAGACCCTCAGGAACTGTGAGATAATAAATGTTTATTGTGTTAACCTACTAACTTCTGGATATATTTGTTACACCATGACAGATAACTAAAACACTGACTTAACTGAATTTTAAGCCAGTCTGATAAACTATAAATAAGTGGCCTGGGGTTAACAGGAGACCTGAGTTCTGGTACTGGCTGTGCTTAACAGTCAGTGTGGTCGTGGACTAAATACTTTTCTGGGCCTCAATTTCCTCAAATGACAAGAACAGAATGAATTCCTCATTTCCATAACTGTGTTCTAAGCTAAGGTTTAACAGGGTACATCAAAAAACGTTAAATGATCAGAGATCAAATATGTTGGAGAATTTCTGGGTTAAGCAAAGTTAAACAAGCTTTTTTTTTTTTAAATCCTCACCTGAGAATATTTTTTCCATTGCTTTTCAGAGAGGGGGGTGGGGGAGGGACAGAGAGAGAGAGGATTGGTTGCTTCCAGCACATGCTGGGAATCGAGCCTGCAACCGAGGTACGCGTGCCCTTGGCTGGAATCAAACCTGGGACCTTTCAGTCCGTGGGCGGACACTCTAACCACTGAGCAAAACCAGCCAGGGCTAAACAAGTTTCTTTAATTAAGGACTTATCACATCCTTTGATATTTTAATGCCACTACTAGTGGTATATACTAGGCAGATTTTCCAAAATTCTTTTATAATGAAAACATTTTTCTCAGATATCCCTTCATTCCCTTTATGAGTGAAACATAACATAGCAGTCTGAAAAACCTATTTAAAAAAATCATCTTCTAAAGCTCAAGGTCCTGGGGAGTTAGGGTTCCAAAGAATCCTCTGTGAAACCTTAAACCTGTTAAGTCCTCATGATCTCCACTCACTGGGTCACAAATAATTCCATAAGCTAAGAACATAGACTTTAAAGTAGAATGCATAGAGGCCCCAACTCATTCCCATAATAGCTAATATAAACTTGAAAAGGTTATTATTTGTTTACACCTCAGTATCCTCAATTATAAAATGGGAATACTCTTGGAATTGAATACTCCAATTATAAAACGGGAACCTACTTCATACGGCTATTACAAAGAAGTAAACAAAATAATCTCTGTATAGCACTTGGCATAGTTCATGGCACTTAGTAGCACTCAGTAAATGTTGACTATTATTAATAAGGACGTTCTATAACAATTAAATTTTAAAAGAACAATATTAGTACCAATGTTGCTAAACATGGGGAGCTGGGCACTCTGACAAACCACTAAAGTGAGTGATGTTGGTGGACAATCTGACAATGCTTTAAGACCAAACTGGATACTTATTGGATTAGCAATTCCTTTTATACTCATCCTCAGGACTGAATCTGATGAATGTGCAAGGATGAGCACTATAGTTTATAACAGTACAGTATATTCCAAATAATATACAGAAACAACCCATATATTCAAAATACGGGTTTGACTCATTAAACAGTACAATAGCCATCTAATAGAATATTATATAGCCATCAAGAATAATGTATGCCCCGGCCAGTTTGCTCAGTGGTTAGAGCATCAGCCCTCAGACAGGTCTTGGGTTGGATTCCCAGTCAAGGGCATGTACCTCATTTGCAGGTTAGACTCCCAGCCCTGGTTGGGGCTTGTGCAGGATGCAACTAATCGATGCCTCTCTCTCACATCAATGTTTCTTTCTCCACCTCCCTCCTCCCTCCCTTCCACTCCCTCTAAAAATCAATGGAGAAAATACCCTGTTGAGGATTTAAAAAAAAAAATAATAATAATAATAATGTGAGAGAGCCCTGGCTGGGTAGTTCAGTTGCTTGGATCATCAACCCGTACACCAAAAGGTTGTGGGTTTGATTCCCAGTCAGGGCACACACCTAGGTTTCGAGTTCAATCCCCAGTCAGTGCATACAAGAGGCAACCCATCAATGTTTCTCTCTCTCCCTTTCTTTTCCTCTCTCTCTGAAAATTAATAAAAACATATCCTCAGTGAGGATAAAAAAAGAAGAATGTTACAGTAATGTACTAAAATGCAAGGATTTCAACATAAGACTGTTATTGCAAAAAAGATCACAAAGCAGTATGATCTCATTTTTATGAAAATACATAAATACAAGCACATGTGGATATACGTACAACATAAGAAAGGGTTGGGAAGGGTACAATCCAAGGTTTCCAGTAATTAGCTATCTCAACAAGTATGAAAGGAAAAACTGTTTCAATGGGCAAGAATGAGACTTAGAACAATACTTACATCAACTGCAGCATCCTCATCATCTGAATCTTGCAGACCAAGAGCTGCTTTTTGTAACTTCTTCCTCTCATTAGCCAAAGCTTGTTCTGTTTCATCAAACTTGAATCCCTTACCAGAGAACCCACTACTCTTTTTAATTATTTTCCCTTCCTTTCAAGGAAGAAAAAAAAAGTTAATTTCATAGTTAAAAACTTTAATGTTCAGGAATTTACAGCAATTTAATATCTTTTAAGGTGCAGGACCACAATTTAACAAAAACATTTCATCTAGCCTGAGAGAGAAAAATAAGATCCTTAGGTAAACTACTCAAAATACTAAGTTAAAGCAAAAGGATTTTATTTTCACTCTTCTTTTCCCCTCTAAAGAGATAAATGAAAATAATCCTTTCAAGATTTACAAGTACCGTATTAAATATTCAAAGTTTAGAACACAATGATTTGCATAAAAATGGGAGTTAAAAAACTCACAGCTTTCTGTTGATCTTTGAAATCACTCCAAAGTTTCTCTAGATCTGCAGGCACTGCAGTCCCCGACAATTCAAGAGCTTTAATAATGTCACCAGCATAGCGAGCTTGATCTTCTGTGATAAAAGTATATGCGTAACCCTAAGGCATGGTGACAAAGTGAAACTATTAGAAACTAACAAGATGAATCCTACTTGGATCACAAATAAAGATAAAATCTAAACCACCCAATAAACCCTCTAAGACTAACTCCATCACTAAAGTTTAAAAACCATTAAAAAGTCCTACTAAGTTGTTTAATGATTCAAAGTGAAATATCTAAGTTTAATATCTAAAAATAAAATGAGCAAAACCAGAAAATTTCTAATTTCTTATGCATAAATAGAAATACATGTGATTTTACATAAATGCACAATTGCATTTTCATACATATTTTCTTTAATATAGTATTTTCCTTCCCTTTTTTCCTTACATTCCCTTTCTCCACTACTGCACCACTCTACCCCAGCTAACCCGTATCAGCTTCCTAGAATGTAACTTCCCACATAATTTTAAGGCCAATAATGTTCTTATATACAAAAACAAGCAGTTTTTAAAATTTATTTTTGTAACCATCTTATAAAAATAAAAGTCAGCAATAATTACCTCCCTGGGATTCTCTAAAGCCTAAGACTCCACATGTCCTAGCAGCTTTTTGGTTCAGGCAAGAGAAAGACTATAAAGTTAAAGTACAGAAATAGCAAACCACAGATTGCCATCTTTACAAAATACTTTGTCCCTGCCAGTGAACTGTTTAAATTTTAAAACATGGTTTAATATTTTATTTCAGGAATATCTAATCACCAGATTTGACTCATGGTCTATTTCTCTACTGCCCACGAGCTAAGAATGGTATTATGTTTTTAAGATTATGTACACATGTATATACACAAACACACATGTACGTGACAGAGACCATATGTGGCCCCAAATGATACAATTTTTTTTTTTTTTTAAGAATTTTTAACATTTTAATACAATTCAGATTAGCATATCTGGTTCATTTCAGCTCCTTCACTGCCAATCCTGGGGGCAGGGACTGCTTCAGTTTCTTTGCCTTCTCTTTGTCTGTGATGACCAAGGTATAAAGTTATCTGCTGCATCAAACTTTAAACTTCACATTATCCTCATTTTTCTTGATCTTGATTCCTGGCTGTAAGCAGGAAGTTCTTGATTTCTTTAATTTTGAGAGGCATGACTACAAATAATGGACAGCGTATGGCCGGCACCTCAAATTACCCCCCTATTCCCCACATACTGCCCTCAAGAGTGTCAAAAGAGCCTGGCCGGGCATGGCTCAGCAGTTGAGCATCGATCTAGGATCCAGGAGATCAGGGTTCGATTCCCAGTCAGGGCACATGCCCTGGTTGCAGGCTCGATCCCCAAGCAGGGGCATGCAGGAGGCAGCCGATCAATGACTCTCATCAGTGATGTTTCTATCTCTCTCTCTCCCTCTCCTTTCCTCTCTCTGAAATCAATAAAGATATATTAAAAAAAAAAGAAAAGTGTGTCAAAAGACAGTCAAAAGGCTACAATTTCTACTACCTGGCCCTTTACACAAATGGTTTCCCAAATCCACAGAATAACTCAGGTTAAAAGAATAAATGCCATCTATTAGATGTGTAACCTTGCGAAAGTAACTTAACTTCTATGTGCCTAAACTTTTCTCATCTATTCAATGAGATAGTATTATCCACCTCAAAGAGAAGTTGTGCAATCACATAAGTGCCCAAATTGCCAGCCTTCATTATTTACACATTCTTGTAGTCTACTTACTATACTCAAGCACACTTTGGCACAGAGTTCTTTACTATCATCAATAAACCTACTTTTGCCCATCCCCGTATTTAACCTATTGCTATCAACATTATTATTGCTTCAGTATGCAGAAATGATTAGGGTTGGAATATCAACCATACCATCATCAATGTTTCCAATAGTAAAATATTCTGCTCCTTCAAAAACAATGAATTTTTAAAAAAAGAAAAACAAAAAAAGGAAAAGAAAACAATGAAAGAAAAACAAACAAACAAAAAGAGTGAAGTAGACCTATATATTTAGTGGAATACATGAGTCAAACAAGTGATATGTATGTGTACTGGTGGGGGAGACAACAACATGGGTGATAAGTGTGGGTATGAGTATATTTTATGATCCCACATTTTTTTAAAAAAAGCAATGAAAGGCCCAGCCAGTGTGACTCAGTAGTTGAGCATCGACCTATGATCCAGGAGACTGAGGTTCAATTCCTGGTCAGGGCACATGGCTGGATTTTGGGCTAGATCCCCAGCAGGGGGCATGCAAGAAGTGGCTGATCAATGCCTCTCTCATCACTGATGTTTCTATCTCTCTCTCCCTCTCCCTTCTCCTCTCTGAAATCAATAAAAATATATATTAAAAAGAAAAAAGCAATGAAAGATTCTGAACTATATACATGGATGTATATAGAAATCTTTAGGCAGATAAAAAAATCCTAAAAGAGGACACAAATGGTTAATCACCTAACTACATAGAACAGCTTGCTACTGGTAATTTTCAAAATAAGTAGACATGTATAATTTTAACAGTACTTAGACATACATATGTATATAAATGATGAACACCTCAACTATTCCTCACACTTTGATGATTGAGGATTTTTTTCTTTTTAAAAAAAATTTTTTAATTGATTTTGAGAGAGAGAAGGGAGAAGAGAAACATCAATGTGACAGCGGAACATCAATCGGCTGCCTCCTGCATTCCCCTTACCGGGGATCAAGCCGGAAACCCAGGCATGTGCCCTGACTGGGAACTGAACTGCCAACTGATGATACCCGACCGAGCCACACTGGCCAGGGCTGATTGAGGTTTTTTGTTTTTGTTTTAAATATATTTTTATTGATTTCAGAGAGAGAAGGGAGAGAGAAACATAATGATGAGTCACTGATCAGCTACGACTTCGATCTCCTGGATCATAGGTTGATGCTCAACCGCTGATCTATGCCAGCCAGGCTGATTGAGGATTTTTTAAAATGTCCCCATAACTCCAATTACTCAAAATAGTAAAGAAACACTTAGATTTTAATATTTAAAAAAAATCAACTTTAAAATTTTGTTTACTTTGTTGCCTGCTCTTCCAGTCCGTCCTGCTCTGTGCACATAATCTTCATAATGGTTAGGGCAGCTGTAATTTACTACAAGAATCAGATGTTTCACATCTAGACCTCGGGCAGCAACAGAAGTGGCCACAAGAAGTTTGCAGGTGCCATTCTTAAAATCATTTATGATGCTATCTCTGTCATATTGATCAATACCTGCAAGTAAATTACACATAAGAGTTGTAAAAACATGTTCAAATTAAACTTTCCACTTCCTCTGACACTCAGAGAAAGAAGTTAAACAAGGAGTAAAGAACAAATCCAACTTACATGGACCACAAGTCCAACAACTACAATATAGAAAATATTAAGGCAATTTTATGGCAAGATCAAAGGCTACTACTATTAATTCATTTATGAATTTTCCAAATCTATTCTTCATTGCCCCTTCTTGTATATAGGAGGCTTATAACTACAGAAGCCCAATCTCAGAATCACTACCATAAACTTGTTTAGGGAGCAATAGAAGACAAGTACATTCAAACTACATTGACAGGATGTAGATCTTTCTCCTTCTGTAGGTTTTATAGAGCCTTGCTACTCAGTTTTGTCCAAGGATCAGAAGCAGCATCACATGGGAGCTTATTAGAAATGCAGAATCTCAGATCTTACCCCCAAATTACTGAATCAGATTCTGCATTTTAACAAGATATTTGGGTAATTACATATGCACTTTAAAGTTTGAGGTGCAGTGGTAAAACTTACCTAATAGAACCTCTTAAACATGTTACCCAAAGAGCCACAGACTAAGTAACAAAGCAGAGCATAAAATGTCAAATGTTCTTTTACAAGATGCCCAGGCCACATATAATTTGATGATGAGTTACACAGGCATCTCCAGAAATTAGAGAAGGGAATGGAATAAATTCTCAAACCTTGAAACTGTATTTTTGCAGCAGAAGATACTCTAAGATTTCATACAAAATCTAATTTTAACATACACAGAATATTTAGCATCTACATATTTACTAATATTAATTTATATTACCTAAAAGTTTTAAAATTTATTTACTGATTTTAGAGAGAGCAAAAGGAAAAGAGACAGAAAGAGAAACATCAATTTGTCGTTCCACTCATTTATGCATTCGTTGGTTTACTCTTATATGTGCCGATGAGGGACCGAACCTATAACCTTGGCATATTGGGACAACACTTTAACCAACTGAGCTACCCAGCCAGGGCTAAAATTTTAAATGTACTCTCCAAACACTGAATTAAAGAAAGTATTTGGATCTTATGTCAAAGAAACTAGGATCCAACACTGCACCCAAAAATATCATTAAAACAATTAATGGAATCGATATCAATATAAATTTAACTTTATAATTGAAAGATACCAAAACTTTTACTTTAGCCTGAGGTATCTTGAATACTAACTCAACTGTGCATATTTTATTCCATGGAAGTGAATATAATGTGCTAATTAAAGTATATGGGATGCCTGCCCAGCAACCATTAAGCCTCTTCTTATTTAAACATAATCCCAATTTTGCTCACATATCCATCCATCCAACACATGGTCATGTGTATCAAACCAGGGATGAGCCTAATTCTGTCTTAGGAGGTGAATTATGATTAGTGCTAAGCCAGCCCTTCTTAAACTTTCTGTGTTCAAGCTACCTCTGCACTCTGAAAATTAATAAGGACTAGCCCTGGTCAGTGTGGCTCAGTTGGCTGGAGCAACATGCCATACACCAAAAGGTTGTGGGTTCAATTCCCAGTCAGGGCACATACCTACGCTGCAGGTTCAGTCCCTGGTCAGGGCAAGTACAGGAGGCAACCAATCAATGTTTCTCTCTTTCTCTCTCTCACCCACTCTCTAAAAATCAATGAAAATGTCCTCACATGAGGATTAAAAATTAATTAACTAGGACCAGACCCAGAGAGATTTAGATTATTGGTCTTTATCACTGTATTTTTAAAATTTTTTTATTGATTTTTAGTGAAAGAAAGGGAGAGGGGGAGAGAGAGAAACATAGATGTGAGAAACATCGATCGGCTGCCTCCTGTACACCCTCTACCTGCGATCAAGGCCACAACATGGGCATGTGCCCTGACTAGGAATTGAACCAGCAACCTTTTGGTGCCAAAGCTCGACATTTATTTTTTTCTATCAATATTTAATGCATTCGAAACTAGAACTGAGGACATTGAAAAATACTTACTAACTTTTGAAAAGAACAATAAAGCAATTGTATGTCAAAATAAAGAACATTTTTGTGAAAAATAACTTAAAACAGTAACATAATTTATTGAGAGGCATGGAATTGTTTTATAATTTTGCAAATTTCTTTCTTTCTTTTTTAATGTTTTTATTGATTTTACAGAGAGAGGAAGGAAGAGGGAGAGAAACATTGACTAGCTAACTCTCATATGCATCCAACCAGGGATCAAACCCGAAACCTAGGTATGTGCCCAGATGAGGAATTGAACCAGCGACCCTTCAATACATGGGATCACTAAACCAACTGAGCCACACTGGCCAGGGCACAAATTTCTTTAATGTCTGGCTTAACAGAAGATAGTTGACGTCTTACATCTACTGTACTCAATCTGTTCCTATATAGCATGCCATGCAGCCACTAGAACACTACACTATACACCCATGAGAGAATGAAAAAGGCAAATAACATGGTGGGGCTATTATGGAAATACTCTTGACTTCATAAACCCCCTGAAAGTGTCAGAGATCCTCAGGTGTCCCAGGACAATCGAGCAATCGTTTAAGAACCATTAATCATTCATTCCCCTGCCTATGAATGATTTCGGCATAAGCATGTGATACAATTCTGACCCAAGAGACAAAAGTAGTACAGAGATTTATGGGAAACATTTCCTCACTTATGTAAAAAACACAATTTCCACTAATGTAGAAGCTCTTTTTGGACCAACTCTCCTGCAAATATCAACTATGAATTCTGGACAAAATATAAAGAACTACCTGAAGGCACCAGAGAGTAACTAAAAGGAGGCAGAAACTGGAAAAGAGTTGATATGTAGAAGAATGTAATGATACTGGCTGAGTTTACAGGATTTTATTTAGTTTAGTTTAAACTTGGGGTTGGGGGAAGCCTGGGCAGCCAGGTACGGAAGTTAAAGCCTGAGTAGAAATATAGTGTTACTGACAAGAAGAAACAAGAAAGAATTCAGGACAAACTCAGGATCAGAAAAGAGGGGATAAACCCCAGAAAGAAAAGAGCAACCATACTCAATAATGCATAAAAATGCTGCCCAATGCCCTAGCCAGTTTGGCTCATTGGTTAGAGCGTCAGCCCTCGGACTGAAGGGTCCCGAGTTTGATTCCAGCCAAGGGCACGTACCTCGGTCACAGGCTCGATCCCCAGCCCTGGTCGGGGCCCGTGTAGGAGGCAACCAATCGATGTTTCTCTCCCTCCTTCCCTCTCTCTTTTTCCCTCTCCCCCCATTCCACTCTCTCTCCCTTCCACTCTCTCTGAAAAGCAATGGAAAAAAAAGTATCCTCTGGTGAGGATTTGAAAAAAATTTTAAAAAAAAAGAATGCTGCCCATTACAAAAAAGACTGAGTTTGGAATATGGGTCTGACCAAGTTGATGTCCTGTTTAAAAAACAAAATTCCCACATGTAAATCGCAATATATTTAATAATACTGATAGTACGAAGAAATTAAAACGTTACTTTAAAATTTCAATTAAGCTCTAACATGAATCATGAAAATCTCTAACATGATACAGTGAATAAAAATGTAACATGAATCAGAAATTTTTAATTTCAATTCCTCCTTAGCCATTTGATTAATGGCTAGAGAATTTGGCCAAACCAATGTATTGTCTTATTTTACCTCAAAGATAGATTTATAATAATAGTGCTGTTGTGATTAAAGTGAGATAGATGATATAAAATTTAGTTCTAAATTAAGAGTACAAAGTAAATATTACCATTCAGAACAACACAGTACTTGGCCAAGTATTTAGCAGAAATGTGATTAAACATTACCTCCATGAAGAGACATGCAAGGATAAGATGCTCTCATTAAATCTTTCAGAAGACCATCAGCATGTTCCTGTTTATCCACAAATATAATGACAGATCCAGATTCCTGATAATGGCCCAGAAGCTCAAGTAACTTCAAGAATTTCTTTTCCTCTTCAATCACAATCTGAAAACACCAAATTGTACCAAGTTAATGGAAAAACACACAAATACATCTCTTAAACAAGAATACTTGTTTTGTGGCAAAAGGATAAATGACAACAGCTTGCTAAGTCATTAGGAAGGATTAGAAAAATTTTGATTTAAATTAGTAAACCAATAAAACAAAAAAATTTGTAACTTTCAGATAGTAAGAGGCTTGCAAGTGTGGACAAAGGATTATCTGTTCTCTCTGACTCTTAACTTCTCATCCTGTTAACCAAAGAATAAGATAATTATGTGACACTTCTACCCACCAGTCCACCACTTCTGGTAGAAGAAACTGTAAGAGCATCTCGAACAGTCAGTTCTACGGAAAACACATATTCAAGTGTATCTGGTAAAATATTAAAAGGCTGCAGTTGATGTATGCTGTTCAATTTTAGAATAATCTGCCTACATCACACACTGTGATCCCAAAGCATCACACACTGCCTAGGCATCCAGGGAACTGGGGATTTCCTAAGGATTGTACCCACCACTTGCTGCTCCACATCCGAGCAAACCACACTCCTGCCTCCAACCTGCACTTCAATGGGTTTACTCAGGATTCTGCGAGCCAAAGCCTCCATAGCTCTGGGGAAAGTAGCTGAAAACATAACGGTCTGTCGATCAGGACGGACGTTATCCACAATACGCATGACCTGAGAAAACATTATAAATCAAAATGGTGAGTGTGGTCCCCCAAAATCATGATGTTAAAACCAAGTAGAGGATAAAAAATAATAATAATAAAAATTTAAAAAAACAAAACAAACTAGAGGAACTTTTGAGAACATCTATTCAGTGACTTTCAAACTTTTTACCTTAGAATTCTACATTTGATTTTACCCCATAATTTGCTCATCTCACAGTTTCCCTTTCTCAAGAAATGGCAATTCTAGTCATCCACATGTTTAGGCCAAAAATCTAGGAGCCATCTTTGACTACCCTCTGTCTTACTTATTACACACCCAATCCACCACCAAATTCAGTAGTCTCAATCTTCAAACTGTATATAGGATGCAATTCTCCACTTAATGTCACTGTTTACCTTCATTTATTCAACACATATTTACTGAGCAACCATTATGTGCCAGGCATTTTTCTAAGCATTTGAAATAGGCAATGAAAATAGACAAAAACTTGTCTTCGTGGAGCTTATATTCTAATAGGGTAGACAGGTAAATATAGTAAGTGTCAAATGATGATAGAACTACAGAAAAAAACAGAACAATGAATATGGACATGTGGCTGATGGGGTGGAAGACAGGCACGAATTACCGCAGTGTTATAGAGCCCTGGAGGAATCAAGATGTCCTAGACCTCTTGTAATGACTGGTATAAACAAAACAAAAAAAAACCAGCCCTGGCCGGTGTGGCTCAATTGGTTGGAGCATCATCCGTGCACCAAAGGGTCACAAGGTTTGATTCCCTGTAAGAGCACATACATAGGTTTCAAGGTTCGATCCCTGGTCGGGGTATGTTGAGGAGACAACCAATCAATGTTCCTCTCTCTCTCCTTCCCCCCTCCCTTCCACTTTCTCTAAAAATTAATGGAAAAAAGTATCCTCAGGTTCAATTCTGGTCAGGGCACATGGCCAGGTTTTGGGCTCGATCCCCAGTAGGGGGCGTGCAGAAGGCAGCCGATCAATGACTCTCATCATTGATGTTTCTCTCTCTCTCCCTCTCCCTTCCTCTTTCTGAAATCAATAAAAACATAATAAAAAACAAACAAGAAACAGGTAAATTTTATGGTATATAATTAGACCACAACAGAGCTCTTTATAAAAGATTACAATGATCTTACTAATTGGTGAGCATTCCCGCTTTTTTATACTTTAAAATGAAGTATAATTAGAAATATAATTATTAACTCCATGAACATCTAGAACTTGCTAGTTAACAACAATTAGGCCCGGCCGGCATGGCTCAGTGGTTGAGGATCAACCTATGATCCAGGAGATCGGGGTTCGATTCCCGGTCAAGGCAATGTCTGGATTTCGGGTTCAACCCCCAGTAGGGGGTGTGCAGGAGGCAGCCGATAAACTCATCATTGATGTCTCTCTCTCTCCCTCTCCCTCTCCCTTCCTCTCTCTGAAATCAATAAAAATATAAAAGGAAAAAAACAACAATCAGGCACTGCTGTTTTCCTTGTGGGAAAACTAAGTTTATTTCTTTAATAAATGTAACACTATTTCAGTGTTCTTGTTCTCAAGTCTAACGTTTTCAAATACACTGGCACGCACAAGAAGAAAAAAGCAACATAGAGAAGATAGACACTGCAAGGAAATGAAAATTTCAAAATACCTAGTTCCATCTTCCATCTGATTCTTCAATTCCCTCTACTCTCTTTCCACAAATGGACCCCTTGCCTCTACTCAAACACAAGTATGAAAAGTATATTCAATACATGCTCCCTTCCTCAAACTAGCCTGTTTCATCTACAAATGACGTTTATCCAGTCCTTTGTCACATTATCCTCAGATCAAGCTCCACATACCTTCCCCACTGGGTATCAGTTCTACTCCATGGGACCCAAAGGATAAATTCAATGCTTCTTTCATGTGACAGACTTTTTTCAGAGTTAAAGGATGCTACTAAGTCCTCTACTCCAAGCTAAATATTCCTCACTCCTTTAACTGTTTCTCACATGGCTCAAGTGTTATCATATGCTATTTACTGGCTTTTGTGCTCCTCTATATCTCATTTAGAATGTGGTCCTTAAATCTAAACACAATACATGCACTATCATATGACAGACAATACATTTTTGAAAAATTCATGAATAACTGAAAAGACTGGATACAATCTTAATCTTATCGCTTTCCAATACCCCATTTTTATTACTGCAGTTCGTGATTTAAACAAAGGTTTTGGCCCTGGCCGGGCAGCTCAGTTGGTTAGAGCATTCCCAATACACCAAAGTTGTTGGTTCGCTCCCCCCTCAGGGGACATACAAGAACTGATCAATGAATGCATAAATAAATGGAACAACAAATCAATGTTTCTCTCTCTAAAATCACTTTTAAAAATGTTTTTTTGGTAACTCACATTGCTTTTCTTGTTAAGAAAAATTTCTACCATCTTTTAAAATGTATTGCTCTAAGTCCATAGCACTGAAATTTGTATTTGAGCAAACAGCATGTGCGAGGAAAAGTCTAAGCTAGGCAAATGCTTTGGGCATCAGTTTTTACATCTGGAGTATGTAAATATGTGCTATCTAGATCATTAGGTAATTAAAAGTATGAATTAAAGCAATTTATTTGCTTCTTTTATTAGCATTCTAATTTTACCAATGATGGTATGAGATGGCTAAGGAAAGCCTGCATGAATACTTCCTGAATGAGTTTTACAGAGAATTAAAAACATAAATACCTATTTCAATTTTATATGTCCCCAAGCCACTGTATTATCACATAGAAGAAATGTGAGAATTAAAACAATACGAAAATTTCACTGTCATGCTTGTTACATGGTTTATTTTATAGTTCAAAACACTAAGGAATTTAATGATTACCTGTGGTTCAAAACCCATGTCAAACATTCTGTCTGCTTCATCTAAAACAACGTATGTCACTCTTCGAAGATTTGTCACCCGACCTAAGATTGGCAGGGGAGGGGGAGACAAAAAGAAAACTAAAAATCAGTCACAATTCATTTTATGGCTACCAAGAACATTAAAAAACTGTAAAGGGAACTAAAATGCCTGACTTAACCAGAGGGGTAAGTTAGGTATCTTTAAACAGTGAAAAGAAACTTTGGTCTACAATGTCTTAATCTAATGGCAAATACTTTCTGACAATGGGTATATGAGGCCCTTTATTTGTCAAACTCGTCTCTTGCATACCATCATAGGGCCTGAAGAACCTGTAAAATTCAGAAAACAGCCCTCTCCAAAACACATCATAAAACTAAGACTGAGATGAAGCATCGAGCCACATCAGCCATTATCTGACAGCATCACCTAGGAAAAAACATATTAGAGATTACAGCGTATGTGTGGAAAGCAAGTGCCAGTGCTAACTATTTCAGATGCAGAAAACCTCTGTTTATATTACCTTATAACCTATTTACATATAGTCAGAAAGTTCTAATGGGCATGTCAAAACATTCATGAGAAGCTATGTAACACCATTCCGTAACTAACACATTACACAAAAACTAATACCAAATGTATTACACAGATACATTTTTCTATACAAAGATACAAATCTAATTTTATTAAGTGCTCCCACTGGTTTGAAGAAATGAGACAGACTTCTTAGTCAGTAAAAATTAAATACACATACAAGAAACCCTTTCTAAACAATTAACACAAACACTTCTATCAACTGTTGAATCAATCACCTGGCAAACAGTTATTAAGTATAAACTGAAAGGATAGATAAGGAAAAAAGATAAAATTAATCAAGATGATCAATGCAGCATTGAGAAAAACCAAGGGATTATTTCATCAACATCCAACCCAAAACTTTTCATATGCTGTACAAGACCATTACTTATCAAACAATTTCGATGTGACTTTGTCAACTTCATATAGCATTAGAATTAAATATATACCGAAATTCAAGCTATTAGAATGCTATTAGAAACATGCACTATTTGCTTTTTAATGCTCTATTATGTACATACTAACTACTGCAACAAAAATCTTTGAAAGCATTTTCTTCAAAAAATAGAAATGAGCCCAAATATATGCTTTCTAATATTTAAGTACTCCATACTAACATTTGCAGCCCCAAGTAATTTTGCAAGGTTGGGAACAGCATTAAATTACCTACCTTTGATGGTTTAAGTCTCAGAAGCCCAGTTCTATAAATCTTGAAGGGCCTTTCTCCACAGAAGTTAAATAATGTCAACAGTTTAGTAACAGTTTTGATAGGGAATAACTGAACAAAGCACAACGTTTGAGTGAAAAACATGCAGTATTTACAAAAGATAAAATTTCTTGAAGCTGCAATATCTTAATTTATCCAGTATTGTAAGAAAATACTAGCAACTGTGAAGAAAAAAAAATCTAAACTTTATAATGAAAAAAGACATAGTGCCCCTTTTAAAAGGAAAGTTCGGCTAAACCTGGATTAATAATCCATGTTAAGTGCTGAAAAATCAGAAGGAGTTAGCTCTGAAAAGAAATTTTCATTTAAATTGCAAAAGTATTATGAACACTTCCAACAATAAACTTGTTACAATACACATTTTAAGATATTACAGCTTTAAGAAGAAATGTCGAAACCCTTTGATGGTTTCTTGTATCTGCTGTGATTTAACAAAAATGTACAGAATTCAAAAAGGAGAAAAGAGAAAAAAATACCCAACTTACCACTGTTAGCTGCTAACATGTCAATCATTCGACCAGGTGTACAAACAATAATTTCAGCACCTCTTTTCAGTTCAGCAATCTAATTAAAAAAAAAAAAAAGAAATTTTATAGCCTATTTATAACTAATGCTTATTTAAAAAGATTTGAGAATACTTCCAGGGTCCTTGCACAGCTCCCTAAAGTAAGAAAGTGAGGTCTGATTAGAAGACTCCCAAGGTTCCTACTTAATATATTGGAATGCTGGAGCACTACTATGTCATAGTAATATGACGACATGGTGCTATAACTTTGAAATCAAAGAAAACCAGAGATTTTTTACCAATTATAATCTGATACAGTCCTTCAAAACCAAGAAGGAACATGAGATAGCAGTAAATAAAGCAATTATAAGGAGAATATTTTTCAAAATGAGAGTTGTTTCCATTAGTGAATCATGAAATCAATACATACAAGCAGCATTTTAAAAATAAAATGAAAAATATTAGAATGTGTTAGACATTATAAAACTTTTGTTTGACTTCTTTATAAACATATTATGTGTGCATGTAACAGGTTATTTTGTAAATGTACTTCTTACTATAGGCTATGGTCAAAAAAACTGACAAAGATAGACTTAAAAAACTAAGATCACGAGTTTAAAATAGCATTGGGATAACAGAAACAAATATTCCCAAAGTGTGTTCTAGAACCTGAGAACACAAGTCCTCAGGAAGATTTCTGTGGTTAAATAAGTTGAAAAATGCCATTTAATTTAACCCATTTTTCCAGCATCAAAATATACATTAGCATATTAAAGACAGAGGAACCTTGCAGGAAAGAAACCCGCTTTAACTTGGTACAATCCAACATTTCCAAAACTTATTTGATCATAGAACAAATCTAGTTTTTTCCTTCTTCTAGTTAAAACAAAAGACCCAATGACTATTGCTCTTTAGAAGACACCGGGAGAGACACCAAACTAAAGAGAATGAATGGCCCTGGCCAGTTTTCTCAGTGGTTAGAGCATCGGCCAAAGAACCAAAGGATCTGGGGTTCAATTCCGGTCAAGGGCATGTACCTGGGTTGCAGGTTCGATCCCCAGCCCCAGTTGGCGCCCATACAGGAGGCAACCAATCGATGTTTCTTTCTCTCTCCCCACACCCCACTCTCTCTCTTAAAAAAAAAATCAATGGAGAAAATATCCTCAGGTAAGGATTAACAAAAAAAAAAAAAAAAAAACTGTATCGGACTGTTTTGTGTCCCCCGGACCCTGAAGCAGCAGGCAGCAGGAGCTGAGACAGCTCTTTGTTCAAGTCTTGACCCTGCCACTTANGTTTAAATAATTCTTCCTGAAATCATTTAAAAATTCAGCTAAAACTCTGATATTAATACATCCCACTCATGCCACCTTTTGAAGATGTGACATAAACTGGAGAAAATAAATGCTGTCCAGGAATCAGAAAACCTAGATTCTTGTAAAAACCACATCTTGTTAACCTAAAGACTTTGGTCAACTTATTTAACCTTTCTGAACATTTCCTTATCTGTAAAACAGAAAAAATATCTGCCTTCCTTGAGCAAATAAAGAAGAGAAAAAAGAAAGCTAAGGTATTAGAAGGACTCAAAAATTCCAAAATATAACAGATATGTAATTCATTCTATTCTTTTCACACCTTGTTTGAGATTTCAGAAGCAATCACTGTACAAAATACTAAAAAAATCACTTTTATATTATTAAATAATTTAAAAATGAAAAACGGAATGTTCCTTTTATAATTACCTGCTCACTGATGCCCGTTCCTCCATAAACACAGACCACTCTAAGTCCCAAGGTCTTCGAAAATTTCTTACATTCTTTAGTAATTTGTAAAGCCAGTTCTCGAGTTGGAGTCATGATGACAGCTGAAAAGATAAACATGTCAAAAGCCTAATCACCAAAATTCTTAAGAGGCTATGCTTTCAGTGTTAAATTTAACCTCTGCAATGAAGTTTAGATCCCTTAGCCTAATTTGTTTTTGTTTTAATTTGTTTTATGCACCTCTGAAAACACTGTTTCAGAAACTTTATGATAGTAAATATTGTGATGAAGTGTAACTTTAAGTAGATTTAAGAACATGTTATAGGAAATCAGTTAAATGCCTACTCCACTATCAAGAAAATAACTGGTTGAAAAGAATGCAAATCATTCTCAATTGCAAATCACAGGGCAAAGATCATCAAGTGACTCACTATGCTGCAGAGCCATTCCTCTGTTTCTGGAAACAACCTTGGTCTGAGGAGCACTGACGGAGGAAAAATATACTGTGCCCTAAATTTCCAAGAGAGGAGCTCGTAACAACCTTCCAAAGCCCTACTCAAATTTGCAGAAAAGATCTCTGCCAAATGAATCAAGATATCTGAATCTGAAGACCAAATCCTAAATGAAATGCTGGCACTATAGCCTTTTAAGGCCAAAAAAAGGGAAAATACATTTCCCTACAATCTTCTATGTTGAGTTTATAAACCCACTGATACTGGGCTAAGAACAAACCTCAACATAAATAAACGAGGAGTCTACCTGCAAAGTCAGAGTTTAAAAATTGAGCTGTGCCAGGACAGGGTGTTTTTGTACTTCTGAGATATTAGTCCAGAGCTCTGAACATTCTCACTCCACCTGCTGGTAAGGGGAAATCAGGCCCAAAGTGCCAAATTTATAAAGGAAATGTATATAAAGATATCTTTATAGTTTTATATAAAGTATCAGGTCTTTCTGATTAACTGACAACAAAACAGTTATCTGAAAAAATAGTTTGATGGAAAAAATTGTACCTATTGGCCCCTCTCCTTCTTCTAGTGACCTCTGATCCATGATGTGTCTAAACATGGGCAACAGAAAAGCAATGGTCTTTCCACTTCCGGTCTTGGCAATACCAATCAAGTCTCGCCCGGACATTATCGCAGGAATCGCCTGAGTTTGGATTGGTGTGGGCTTTTCATAGCCATGCCTTAAAAAAGCAAACCAAAGGAAGACAAGGTAAAAGTTGAGATCTCTTGGGCTCCCAAAGCTCCAGAAGAAGAAGGTTTTCCAAAATGTGGTACATTCACACAATAAAATGTTAACTGGCAAAAAGGAATAAAGTCCTGAGACAATGTACACCATGGTTGAACTTTGAAAATATTATGCTAAGTAGAAGAAGTCAGTCACAAAAGACGACACCGGTACACTTCCATTTATATAAAATGTCCAGAATAGACAAATCTATAGAGACAATAGATTAGTGGTTGCCTAGGGTGGAGGAGAGGGAAGAAGATTGACTAGTAACAGATACAGAATTCTTCTGGGGATGACGAAAATGTTTAAAATTAGTTACGGTGAGGATTGCATAACTCCATTCATACACTAAGGAATCACTGAACTGTATACTGTTAAGAGTAATTTTTATGTTATTACTTTATCTCAATAAAGTTGTTTAAGAAAAAATGTTTTTCTATTACAGTAAAAATACAACCAAGGGAGATATTTGTGTGAAAAAGCTACTTTTGAGTAGAAAACTTTGAAAACCGTGGGCAACCACTAACCACTTACTTTTTGAGAGAATTTAAGATCTTCATGGAAATTCCACACTGAACCCAAGATTTAATTGGTTTGGGGCAACCTTTTCCCTTGACAATAATGCCCTCCATTTCCAACCGAAAGACATTCACCTCTACAAAACAAAATCCAGATTAAAAACTTTTAATTATTGTACTATTATTAGTGTCTTATACTTTTCAATTAGGCATGGCAAGATTAAGAATCTTCAATTCTTTTTTTAGCATTACCACAGATTATTCCATAGAAAAGCTATTGGAAAAAGCACAGAACAGCTCAGAGAGACAGAGACAGTAAAAGTGATTACTGCTGCAACCAACTAAGGATGAAGAGAAATATCCCAATTTCTACAATTTGGCTTTTATTTTATCTTAAATTGAAACAATAAGAGAATAATGATTGACAAGTAATACAATCATCTCCAAGCAAGAGTTGCCCAAATTATCCTTATTCTGTCAATATTACTGATGCACACTGGTTCCGAACTCCCAAATCTCAAGGGCTAACAATATATTACTTGATAACTTCACATGAAGAGTACTTTCAAGCCTAAAATTCTCAACTACATGAGCAAAACTATTTTTTGCTCATTTTTTAAAAATGTTTTATTGCCCAGCCGGGGGTGGTTCAGCGGTTGAGCATTGACCTAGGATCCAGGAGATCGAGGTTCGATTCCTGGTAACAGCACGTGCCCAGGTTGTGGACTCGATCCCCAGTCCGGGGCATGCACGAGGAAGCCTATCAATGACTCTCTCATCATTGATATTTCTCTCTCTCTCTCCCCCTCTCCCTTCCTCTCTCTGAAATCAATTAAAAAAAAAAAAGTTTTATTGATTTTTAGAGAGAAAGGGAGAGGGAGAGAAAGAAAAACATCAATGTGGAAGCAAAAGATCAAACAGCTGCCTCTTGCCCACCCTGTACCAGAGATCAAGCCTGAAATCTGGGCACGTGCCCTGACTGGGAATCGAACTGGCAACTTTTCAGTGCATGGAAGGATGCCCACCTAACTGAGCCACGCCAGCCAGGGCGATCATTTTCTTTAATAGCTCCAAAAACGCAGTTTCTTCACAACTTTGAATTTTTGCAGATGATTTTCCCGCTCTCTAGAATGACTTCTCACCTTCTAGTTCCCTCTCTCACTTCTCCAGGTAAATCATACAATTCCCCCTATTCATGCATCAACTCACAGGCCTATCCACATTCCTCCCGGGCAAAGAAAGGTGTATCCTCTTCCATCCACACAATAACCAATATATAAATAAAAGAATTTTACCCTCTTGAGACATTTTTGCTAGTTCTGGAACTTCAACATAAAAGTTTTTTCTGAATGGTTCATATTCAATCTTCCCATGATCTACTGGCTCTAGAAGCTTTCTCTGTTTTGTCTGATAGCCTGTGAGGGCTGTCTGAAGATCAACTTCTTCTTCCTCTGAAGAATACTATAATTAAAAAAAAACAGTTAAGTAAAGAGCTAAATTCACTTCTATTTTCTATTTATGGCAATCAATATGCCTAGCTTTAAAAATTTTCTCCTAGCTAGAGGGAGGGGAAGTGGGTAAAGGTGGAAGAGGTTATAGGGGGGGTAAATGACGGAAAAAAATAAAACTTAATTTTAAAAAATATCTTCCTCTCTTAGAAAATAATCTTTGGGTTTTGCTTTTTTAATTTCTGAATTTTTCAACTTAGTTTCTCTTTTCTTTTCCCTTATAGAAAGTTGTGTAACAACTAAAATGATAAAATAACTCTAGCCCTGGCCAAGTAAGTCAGTTGGTTAGAATGTCATCCCGATACGCCAAGGTTGTGGGTTTGATACCCAATCAGGGCATATAAAAGAATCAACCAATGAGTGCATAAATTAAGTGGAACAAATCAATGTTTCTCTCTCCCTACAATCAATCAATCAATCAATACCAATAAATGAATAAAATAATTTTAATATGACTTTAATGAAGTTTTGCTATAGTTCCGAATATAAATCTCTAATAGAAAGAAATTTCATTCTGTCACTTTTATTGCAAGACAATAAAAACTGGGCATACAGCAAGAAGTCAAAAATGTCAGAATGTCCTACCAACTGGGTACTCAGCTATAACACTGTTAAGAATGGCAAGGATTCCTAGTAGCAGTTTACGTAACTGAAAAGTACATCTCCATCAATGCTTCCTAGTAAATACTTCTAGGGCAGCATCGTTTAGGGCACCTTTTTTTTTTTAATTGATTTGAGGGAGGAAGGGAAAAAAGAGAAAAACATCAATTTGTTATTCCACTTATTTATGCATTCCTTGGTTGATTTTTTTTAACTATATCTTTATTGATTTCAGAGAGAGGAAGGGAGAGGGAAAGAGAGAGAGAGAGATAGAAACATCAATGATGAGAGTCGTCTTTGATCCACTGCCTCCTGCATGGCTCCGACTGGGGATCAAGCCTGCAACCCGGGCATGTGACCTGACCAGGAATCGAACTGCGATCTCCTGGACCCTAAGTCCAATGCTCAACTGCTAAGCCACGCCCGGCCAGGCTCCTTGGTTGATTCTTGTAAGTTCCCTGACTGGGGATCAAACCCATAACTTTGACTTTTCAGGACAATGCTCTAGCCAACTAGCTCCCCAACTAGAGCCTAGGGTAGTATCATGAACAAAGTAAAAATTAATGAAAAATTACCTCCATGGCATCCTGGTCATTCTCCATCAGCTCACCTTTCTTCTTATCAGAATCCACAACTGCTTTTTTGGTTGTCACAACAGTGACAACTTTTGTGACCGTTGGCCCAGACTTCTAAAATAAAAAAGGAATATAAAATATTTTGCAAAACTGAAATAAAAATTATATGCCAACTGAAACAAAATAACTGTCACAATTTATAATGTAAATTAACTTAGTTATTAGCAGAAACTTAATGAAAAGACAAAAAGTAGTCTGCTTTCTCATTTAAATTTTACAATGCAATACATTGCATTGTATTTTATGGTACATTAATACAAGGTGGGCAAAAGCAGGTTTACAGCTGTTACTATGGAAAAAGACATGCAGGTTATGATTACTGCAATAGCTTTAACTGTGCTTTGCATACTCACAACTGTAAACCTACTTTTGTCCACCCTGTATATATGTAACTTACTGTATAATATGTAATCTTATATACTATTATTCAATATAATTTATTTTAAAAAATACTACCAAATGTTACTTTTCACTCATTCGACAAGCAAGACACTGTTCTGGGAGCTTAGGATAAATCAATAAAACAGATAAAGGTCACTGCTCCTGAGGAGCTTTATTTTAGAAAAGGGACAAATAACAAACATGATAAAAAATTAAATTATATAATTTGTCAAAAGGTAATAAATGCTATTTATTTATTTTTTATATCCTCACCCAGGATATTTTTTCCATTACTTTTTCAGAGAGAGTAGGAGAGAGAGCGAGAAAGAGAAAGAAACATCGATGTGAGAGAGAGAAAGCTATTGGTTGCCTCCAGCAAGTGCCCCCACTGGGACCAGGGATCAAGCCTGCAGCCAAGGCACATGCCCTCGGCCAGAATCAAACCCGGGACCCTTCAGTCCGCGGGCCAACACTCTATCACTGAGCCAAAATGGCTAGGGCAGTAAATGCTATTTTAAAAAGAAAAATAAGCTAGGGTAAAGGAGATAGGAGTATGAGAGATGAAAATGCTGAAGAAGTCTGGAGAAGACCTACAGAGAAGGCGACAAGTAAGCAATAGTACTGAACAAGGACAATGGCAAGGGTGCTTTTGAAACAAGAACATTTAATTAAAATTCACTAGTATCTCCAGTACTTAGAAAAAGTATTGGCATTTCTGAGATGAGAGAGGAAACAAAAATATCATAAAGTCATTCAAGTCAATGAAACCAAGTTATCCAACTAGGAATATAATTCTTTAAAAACAAAATTCCATACCTTTTCATTTCCTCCACCACCTTTTACACTTCTCATATTAAACTTTTTTACTTCCTCCTTCACTTCTTCCATGTAAGCATCTAATGGATCTAACTCCTCACCCTCCATTTCATTTCCTTCCTTTTCAGCTTCCGCAGGATCATCTTCATCATCTAAAATATTAGAATTCACTTTCTTTGTACATGTGTTGCAAAAGGAAATACTTTACAATCAGACCACACCCCGCCATTCTGACCTTTTCTCTCACTACCCAAATACCCTCCTTTCCAGTTAACTCAGGCATACTGCAGTTTAAATATGCTTCAAAAGTTTTGAAACCAAGCATGTATAGTTCTGAATAAAAGAAATAAATTATAATAACAACTTATTAAATTGAAGAGGCAAAAAATTATGCCTAAAAAATGAACCACCAGTATTAAATCTTACAATTACACTACTAGAAGCCAAACTAAAAACTTTTTCTGCTAAATAAGTTTAACTATTTTTCTTTTAATTACCTTTCTTTAAAGCACTGGGGGGAAAAATAGTTGCCCTGACATGGTAGCTCCATTGGTTAGAGCATGGTCCCGATACGCCAAGATTATGGGTTTGATCCCCAGTCAGGGCACATACGAGAAGCAACCAATGAATGAATAAATAAGTGGAACAACAAATCAATCTCTCTCTCTCCCCCCCACCCTTCCTTTCTCTCTCTAAAATCAGTAAAATTTTTTTAAAAAGAGAAAAATAGTAACATTCTTAATTCAAAACAATCTATCTTTTTACGTAACTAAGACATCATCACTTAAAGATACAATCCATTTACCTATTTAAACCACTCTATGGAACTTCCAGAGAAAATAAAATTTTCACAGGAATTTTCTCAGAAAATGGAGAAAAATTCCATTTCCCTATGAAATTCCACATTATTCCTTTACTAAAAGGTCAAAATCAGATATGGAAGGGAAATGTTTCTGTGCTAAGTCATTAAAAAGTCAGAGGAGAGACCTGAAAACATGTCCTTAATTTACTCTTATTATTAACATTCTCATTCATAGTAAAAACTAAAAGGGTACTTAACTGACTATGCCCATAAGCACCCAACTCTCGACTCTAAAGTAAAATCAGTGATTCTCAATAAACACTACTTTACAATTTTAAATTTAACATAAATATTAAAAGGGGCATTTAAAACCTCCATATGAATCCAGCAATTCCAGTTTTAGGTATATACCCAAAACAAATGAAAGCAGGGACTCAGATACTTGCACACCAATAATCACAGCAGCATTACTCACAATAGTCAAAAGGTATAAACCACCCATATATCTAACAACAGATGAACAGGTAAACCAAATGTGGGATGGATACATATATATAGGTATACAGATATATATCACAGAGTATTATTAAGCCATAAGAAGGAATGGAATTCTGATACATGCCACAACATGGATGAACCATGAAGACATTATGCTAAGGGAAATAAGCCAGTCACAAAAGGACAAATATTGCATCATTCCACTTTTATGAGGTACGTAGAATAGGCACATTTATGGAGGCAGAAAGCAGAATAGGTATTACCAGGGCCCAGCCGGCGTGGCTCAGCGGTTCAAAGGCGACCCATGAACCAAGCAGTCACGGTTCGATTCCTAGTCAGAGCACATGCTCAGGTTGTGGGCTCGATCCCCAGTGGGGGGTGTACAGGAGGAAGCCAATCAATGACTCTCTCACATCATTAGTGTTTCTCTCTCTCTCTCCTTTCCTCTCTGTGAAATCAATAAAAAACATTTTTAAAAAAAAAGAAGTTACCAAGGATGGGATGGGGGAAGGAGAGGGAATTACTGTTTAATGGGTACAGAGTTTCTGTTTAGGATGAAGAAAAAGCTCTGGAAATGGACAGTGGTGATGATTACAGAAGACTGTGCATGTACTTAATGCCATGACTTATACACTTAAAAATGGTAAAAATGGTAAACATTATATTATATATATTTTTCCACAAGGGCCTTAAAAATACCGATAGGAATATTATTCATAATTCTATACTATTCTACGTGAATTGTTATATAGGCTATCATCTAACAAGTGAATATACCATCATCATCTTCTAAACTCCATTTTTTCCCTTGTTTCATCTCTTCAATTTCCTTTTTCAGTTCTCCTATGTTTTCCATGGCCTTTTTGCGTTGCTCTTCTCGCCATTTTTCTACTCTTTCTTTCCGCTTTCTCATTTCTTCTTCTAGCTTATTTTGGTCAAAGTTCTTGGGAGAAAAAAAGGATATAGAGGAAAGCAACGATTAACAATTTTACTCTAAGTGATATTCCAAATATTTTCTCCAAAGTATAAGAGAGGTATACGCAAGTCCTATATTTAGACCAGATTAATATCACACATCTTTTAAATATCTCCATGAAAATAACAGCAAAATAAAATCATAAAAAAAGCATCTTCAACTAAGAAAGCAGAAAGACAGAATTCAAACACCATAAATTAATCTAATTTTAGTTATAAGCAACATGCACATATGAATTCAACTTCCTTCTCAAAGTAGAAACAACATGACTTATCAAGCAAAGTTCCCTAGTTATTAGTCATCCTCAACTTTAAATCTTCTAAACTCCTCCAAGATTGCCTCCTTGAAAAACAACTTTCCATTATAAATTAGTGAGCAAATAAAAGCTGTTTATCAACACAATTAAGTTTTGGTCTTTTAGCTTTAGGTCTGAGTTTCCTAGAAACAGCCATTCTAAAGCCATTATCAAGATTACTAATACTCTTAAGATGAAACAGTAAATCGTTTTCATGGCCATAATCAGGGACTTAAAGATTAAGCATTATATATATCAAAATGCTACATAGATAGGTATGGAAATATACATGTAAAAAACAAAGAAACTATTACAAAATTGGAATGGTGATAGTGTTTTGGGCACCGGGGATTACAGAAAATTAGTTCTGACTTTCCAAATATTATATAATACGGTTATATAATGCTTGTATTTAAAAAATAAATTTATTTCTTAAACAAATAGTTTTGCTCCTGAATTTATACTCTTTATAATAATTCCATTCTCTCTAAAGATGAGCCCCAGGAAGCTTATGTGCTTTTCTCAAGGTCACCCAGTCATTTAATAGAAGAAACTGGATCAGAAACCAGACTCCCCCAGACTTATGTTGTATCTTTTCTTAGCTACCCTGCTCAGCAAGCAAGTCCCTTAAAAAAAAATAATAGAACCACTAAAAAAATAGAACAAAAAGACAACAAAATAAAGAAGTGATGCTACAATGTATTCTAAAATAGGCAAAAGACATTTGCAACAACATGGATGGACCTTGAGAATATTACAGGTGAAATAATATTACAGTGAAATAAGTCAGGCAGAAAAAGCTAAGAACTATATGATTTCACTCATACGTGAGGCATAAAACTGAAACTTGTAGACACAAACAGCAGTGTAGTGGTTGCCAGAGGGAGAGAGGGAGTGAAGGGGGCCTGATATATGGTGATATATGGTGAAGATGATTTGACTTTAGATGGTGGGCACACAGTGCAACATACAGATCTTGTAACAAAATGAGCAAAAGATATGAGTAAGCAATTCAAAGAAGTGCAAATAGGAAATAAATTTAATGCATTATGTATATTACAAAATTTATCTATTATGTTCACAAGACTTAAAAATACTCATATTTAAAGACATGCAACTCAAAATGATACCAATTACCTCCAATTACATTGGTAAAAATTAATTTTTCAAATTCTCACATTGGCAAAAAAAAAAGGAAACAGACATTTTCATGTCTATATCTTAAATCAATTTATACAACTTTTTTTTTTTATGGCAATTTAAAACCAATTTACCTTATGCTATATTCACAAAAGACACGTACAAGAATTAATGAATCATTATTTATAATTGCAGACAGGAAAAAAACCTAAATAGCTATCAAAGGTGATCTTTCTACCTTGTTTCAACAAAATACTATGAAGGCATTAAAAATAATGAGCTCGCCTGGTCAGCTTCGCTCAGCAGTTGAGCACTGACCTACGATCCAGGAGACTGAGGTTCAATTCCCGGTCAGGGCACATGCTCAGGTTTCAGAGGCATGCAGGAGGCAGCCAATCAATGACTCTCATCATTGATGTGTGTGTGTGTCTCTCCCCCACTTCCTCTCTGAAATCAATAAAGGCATTACAAATAATAATGAGCTAGCCCTGACAGGTGTGGCTCAGATGGTTGGGCATTATCCCGCGTTCCCAAAGGTTGCCAGGCTCGGTCCCCAGGGGGGTGTGCAGGAGGCAGCCAATCGATATTTCTCTCTCACATTGCTGTTTTTCTCTCTCCCTTCCTCTTTCTAAATATCAATAAAAATAAATAAATAAATAATCATAATAATGAGCTATATTTATGTAGGCAGCTATAGCAAGATCTCCAATACATAACAAATGAAAACAGCATGATATTCAATTCCTAAGTAAGATGGTGGGTATACTCCTGCTTATTATTCTTAAGACCTTATATACTGATAAATTAATTCATAATTTAAAAATAAGCAAAAGCAAGATACAAAATGGTACATATGGTATGGTCAGTTTTCAAGTAAAAACAGACTATATATATATATGTAGATATGCAACTTTTTTCAGAAAAAAAATTTTCTCATGGAAACTATTATTTGATCTGTTCATCTTATATATTTGTTATTCATATAAACATAAAGCATATGGCATTAAAAAACAAAGAATAACTTGTCACTGCAGAAACAAGTCTGGTACTAGGATATATATGCTAGTAAACATACGCCGGCGTCTTTTTCTTTCTCATCCTCCTTGTCATCTTTGTCTTTTTTCTTCTCTTTAGAACTTTCTCCACTATCTGTTTTCTCTTTGGACCTAGACCTTCTAAAAAAGAGAGAGAAAGACATATTATCTATTTGTGCTTGGAAACATTCATTTTAAAATACTTTTATAGACTTGTACTTTACTTTTTAGGTAAACAGTCAACTCCATTTTTATATTCCATTAATAAACAACTTGGAGATATAATGAAAAATTAATGCTTAAACAACTGCAAATATTATTAAATATTTAAAAATTCACCCGCCAAAAAACTAGACATATCATGTAAAAACTACAAAATTTAGCCCAACCAGGTGTGGCTCAGCAGTTCAGCATCGACCTAGGATCCAGTAGATCAAGGTTCAATTCCCAGTCAGGGCACATGCCCAGGTTGCAGGCTTGATCCCCAGTTGGGGGCGTGCAGGAGGCAGCCGACCAATGACTCTCTCATCATTGATGTTTCTATCTCTCTTTTCCTCTCTCTGAAATCAATAAAGATATATTTTAAAAAAAAGAAGAAACTACAAAATTTAAATAGGAGAGCTAAAGTTTAACAAATGGAGAAACATACCAAGACATTAATATTCTACAAGATAATTTTATATGTAATAACATAAAATCACAATAGGCTTGTATTTTTACCCTGCTTACGGTAGCTTAATAAATAAAACTTAATTTTGTTTTTTAATCCTCACCCGAGGATACTTTTCCATTGCTTTTCAGTGTGGGGGGCGGGGGGGGATAGGTAAAAGAGAGAGAAACATCAATGTGAGAGAGACACATCGATTGGCTGCCTCCCGCACTCACTCCAACCAGGGCCAGGGATCAAGCCCACAACTGAGGTACATGCTCTTGGCTGGAATCAAGCCTGGGACCCTTCAGTCCGTAGGCTGAACCTCTAATCACTGAGCCAAACTGGCTAGAGCAAAACTTAATTTTAATGTAATCAAATTGGTTGATCTCTTTTGCCCGTTTATGATCACTACTTTTCTGTTGTTAATCCTCACACAAGCATATTTTTTTCCATTGATTTTTTTAAAAAGAGTGGAAAGAAAGAAGGGAGGGTCAGAGAGAGGAAGGGCAACATCAATGTGAGAGAGATACACTGACTGGATGCCTCCCACATGCACCCCAACCGGGGCCAGGGAAGGAACCTGCAACCCAGGTATGTGCCCTTGACCCACAATTGAACCCTTGACCCTTCATTGCATGGACTGACACTCTAACCACTGAGCAACACCAGCCTTTTAAAGTACCTAGAAATCCTTCCGGATTTGATGAAAATATCCAGAGATAAATAAGACATTCTCTAGTATAAACTACTAAACGGTTTATAGTTTTATCATTTAATTTGGTCTTTAATCTGTGTGGAAATGCTTTTTGTGCACAAAATGAGGTACACAGTCCTAGTTCATTATAGGATACCAAATGTCCCTAGCACCATTTATTGAAAAAACTTTTTCTCCCTGATTATGTCACCACTGTCGTGTATCGAATGGCCATATAGCGTGGCTCTATTTCTGGGCTCTTTATAGGGTCCCGCTAATCTACTTGTATATCCCTACACTAAAACCACACTATCTTAATTTCTATAACTTATGACAAGTGCTGATATCTTATTTTTCAAGAATGTTTATGCCCTTTGCATTTCCAATTTTATAACGCTTGTCAAATACTTTTCTATTCATGTCTGCTAATAACTTTTAAACATAAATGTATGTTAAAGTTAAGAAAATGCTCTTCCTGAATTTATTTAAATAACTATTTAAATTTTTCTCCTTTAATCTTAATACAGAGTATTACACTGATTTTCTAATGTTAAACCAATCTTCCATTTCTAGGAAAAATCCAACTAGTTCATGATCGTGTTCTCATTTTTATACTTTTGGATTCAGTATGCTAATCTTTATGTTTAGACTGAATACAGACTAATTTTCTTTTCTCATACTGCCCTTGTCAAGTTTTACTATCTATGTTCTCCTCAATTCATAAAGTAAATTCTTCTTCAAGTTTCTGGTCAACAAAACTACCATTACAGCCCTGGCTGGTGTGGCTCAGTGGATCAAGCATCATCCCATGCACCAAATATTGTCAAGGGTTTAGAGCAATACAATTCTCATACACTACTGGTGGAAGTATAATTAGTAATACTCTTTGGAAAGCATTCAGGATTACCTAGTAAAAATAAAGCCATGTTTATTCTACAACCATGTAATTTCACTCCTAGATATATATATCCTAGGGAAACTCATGCAAATGTATACCAGTATCATATATACAAAAACGTTCATAACAGCCAAAAAGTAAAACCACCCAAGCATCTATCTCAGTAGAATGGATAAATTGTGGTATATTTATACCACAGAATGGTGCTTAGCAATGAAAATGTATTACTATATTTCAAGTTTCTGGTCAACAAAACTACCATTACAGCCCTGGCTGGTGTGGCTCAGTGGACTGAGCATCATCCCATGCACCAAATATTGTCAAGGGTATGGAGCAATACAATTCTCATACACTACTGGTGGGAATGTAATTAGTAATACTCTTTGGAAAGCAGTTTTGCTGACCAGAAAATGCTTTGTTATAAGCAACAAAGATGAGTTTCAAATAACACTGAGCAAAGATACAAAAGAATATATAATTCATTCATGTAAAGTTAAAGAACACATAAGTCTAAACTATTCTTTTTCCAGGTACAAATGCAGGTGGTAAAACTATGAAGAAATAGAAGGAAATTCTAGCCACAAAAGTCAGAACTAGTTTTATCCAAGGAAGTAAAGAACTCAGTTACAGAAGGGATGTAGAGTGCTTCTGGGGATACTGACAAGGTTCTACTTCTTGACCTTGGTGATGGTTACATGGATGTTGCTTTATAATTATTTAATAAACTGTATGTTTATGTTTTATTCACTTTTATGAATGTATATATATATATACACTTTTGTTTTGGTTTTTGTTGTTGTGTGATCTTGAGAGTACGTTTATTAAAGCTGGGGACAATGAAACAAGGAAGGGCTCAGGATATAAGTAGCAACAGGAGAGAGCCTAGGCAGAGCTGCTTTGGCTCACTGAATCAGAGAAAAGGGGGCCTTGGAGACAGATTCAGGAAGTTAGCCTGGGACAAGCTGCCACTGCCCATTGCTCCCCTGGTTGCAAGTTTCATGGGGACCCTTAGAGCATCAGAGATACATGCCTGAGAGGGAAGAAAGGCCTGGGAGTGCTCCCAGGAGGGAGAGTGCACCATATATATACTTTTTAAAATTTAACGTAACCCCAGCCCAGCCAGGTGCGGCTCAGCAGTTGAGCGTCAACCTAGGATCCAGGAAATCAGGGTTCGATTCCCAGTCAGGGCACGTGCACGGGTTGTGGGCTCAATCCCCAGTCAGGGGCATGCAGGAGGCAGCTGATCAATGACTCTCTCATCACTGATGTTTCTATCTCT